GCCTTGATGGCGCGAGTCAAGTCAAAAAACAATAAAAAACGAAATCAAATAAAAAAATATATAAAAAAAATCATGTCAATAAATTAAAAACGAAAAAAATGTAACAAATAGTATAAAAATTATTGTATTTAAATTTAAATCGAACTTAATTCAGCCTCCGAATTGCTAAATAAATAAATTTATTTTATAAATAATCAAATACAACCGATTTTTAACTGCTACCACTGATTCGACGACGTCCATTTTTTGATGTATCAGACTTAGCAAAGACATTATTACAACTTCATTATTGTTAATAAAAGGCTAGTAATTCTCAACTAAACCTTCTGTTTGATAATTAAAATGTTTATGTTGTTTAATTCCTTCTGCCTTTTCAACGTTGACACTGTGGAATAATTTGGACCATGAATTTCAAAAGAACGTGGGGAACAGAAACATGAATAATCCGAAAAGAATAATGGTAATATGAAGACCAATAATCGCTATTAGAATTAAACAACAGAAACATTTTATCCCTTGTATTAGACAGCAGGGATCAAAGATTAACCGGGTAAATATTTTTTAAATTAAAAGCCTCCTAAGCAGGGGGCAGGTCCAATGTATAAAACGGCACATGGACACACCAAAATTTCTGCCCCCTGCACAAGGCAGGGGGACTTGAGTTGCCCCCTGCACAAGGCAGGGGGACTTGAGTTGCCCCCTGCACAAGGCAGGGGGACTTGAGTTGCCCCCTGCACAAGGCAGGGGGACTTGAGTTGCCCCCTGCACAAGGCAGGGGGACTTGAGTTGCCCCCTGCACAAGGCAGGGGGACTTGAGTTGCCCCCTGCACAAGGCAGGGGGACTTGAGTTGCCCCCTGCACAAGGCAGGGGGACTTGAGTTGCCCCCTGCACAAGGCAGGGGGACTTGAGTTGCCCCCTGCACAAGGCAGGGGGACTTGAGTTGCCCCCTGCACAAGGCAGGGGGACTTGAGTTGCCCCCTGCACAAGGCAGGGGGACTTGAGTTGCCCCCTGCACAAGGCAGGGGGACTTGAGTTGCCCCCTGCACAAGTCAGGGGGACTTGAGTTGCCCCCTGCACAAGGCAGGGGGACTTGAGTTGCCCCCTGCACAAGGCAGGGGGACTTGAGTTGCCCCCTGCACAAGGCAGGGGGACTTGAGTTGCCCCCTGCACAAGGCAGGGGGACTTGAGTTGCCCCCTGCACAAGGCAGGGGGACTTGAGTTGCCCCCTGCACAAGGCAGGGGGACTTGAGTTGCCCCCTGCACAAGGCAGGGGGACTTGAGTTGCCCCCTGCACAAGGCAGGGGGACTTGAGTTGCCCCCTGCACAAGGCAGGGGGACTTGAGTTGCCCCCTGCACAAGGCAGGGGGACTTGAGTTGCCCCCTGCACAAGGCAGGGGGACTTGAGTTGCCCCCTGCACAAGGCAGGGGGACTTGAGTTGCCCCCTGCACAAGGCAGGGGGACTTGAGTTGCCCCCTGCACAAGGCAGGGGGACTTGAGTTGCCCCCTGCACAAGGCAGGGGGACTTGAGTTGCCCCCTGCACAAGGCAGGGGGACTTGAGTTGCCCCCTGCACAAGGCAGGGGGACTTGAGTTGCCCCCTGCACAAGGCAGGGGGACTTGAGTTGCCCCCTGCACAAGGCAGGGGGACTTGAGTTGCCCCCTGCACAAGGCAGGGGGACTTGAGTTGCCCCCTGCACAAGGCAGGGGGACTTGAGTTGCCCCCTGCACAAGGCAGGGGGACTTGAGTTGCCCCCTGCACAAGGCAGGGGGACTTGAGTTGCCCCCTGCACAAGGCAGGGGGACTTGAGTTGCCCCCTGCACAAGGCAGGGGGACTTGAGTTGCCCCCTGCACAAGGCAGGGGGACTTGAGTTGCCCCCTGCACAAGGCAGGGGGACTTGAGTTGCCCCCTGCACAAGGCAGGGAGACTTGAGTTGCCCCCTGCACAAGGCAGGGGGACTTGAGTTGCCCCCTGCACAAGGCAGGGGGACTTGAGTTGCCCCCTGCACAAGGCAGGGGGACTTGAGTTGCCCCCTGCACAAGGCAGGGGGACTTGAGTTGCCCCCTGCACAAGGCAGGGCGACTTGAGTTGCCCCCTGCACAAGGCAGGGGGACTTGAGTTGCCCCCTGCACAAGGCAGGGGGACTTGAGTTGCCCCCTGCACAAGGCAGGGGGACTTGAGTTGCCCCCTGCACAAGGCAGGGGGACTTGAGTTGCCCCCTGCACAAGGCAGGGGGACTTGAGTTGCCCCCTGCACAAGGCAGGGGGACTTGAGTTGCCCCCTGCACAAGGCAGGGGGACTTGAGTTGCCCCCTGCACAAGGCAGGGGGACTTGAGTTGCCCCCTGCACAAGTCAGGGGGACTTGAGTTGCCCCCTGCACAAGGCAGGGGGACTTGAGTTGCCCCCTGCACAAGGCAGGGGGACTTGAGTTGCCCCCTGCACAAGGCAGGGGGACTTGAGTTGCCCCCTGCACAAGGCAGGGGGACTTGAGTTGCCCCCTGCACAAGGCAGGGGGACTTGAGTTGCCCCCTGCACAAGGCAGGGGGACTTGAGTTGCCCCCTGCACAAGGCAGGGGGACTTGAGTTGCCCCCTGCACAAGGCAGGGGGACTTGAGTTGCCCCCTGCACAAGGCAGGGGGACTTGAGTTGCCCCCTGCACAAGGCAGGGGGACTTGAGTTGCCCCCTGCACAAGGCAGGGGGACTTGAGTTGCCCCCTGCACAAGGCAGGGGGACTTGAGTTGCCCCCTGCACAAGGCAGGGGGACTTGAGTTGCCCCCTGCACAAGGCAGGGGGACTTGAGTTGCCCCCTGCACAAGGCAGGGGGACTTGAGTTGCCCCCTGCACAAGGCAGGGGGACTTGAGTTGCCCCCTGCACAAGGCAGGGGGACTTGAGTTGCCCCCTGCACAAGGCAGGGGGACTTGAGTTGCCCCCTGCACAAGGCAGGGGGACTTGAGTTGCCCCCTGCACAAGGCAGGGGGACTTGAGTTGCCCCCTGCACAAGGCAGGGGGACTTGAGTTGCCCCCTGCACAAGGCAGGGGGACTTGAGTTGCCCCCTGCACAAGGCAGGGGGACTTGAGTTGCCCCCTGCACAAGGCAGGGGGACTTGAGTTGCCCCCTGCACAAGGCAGGGGGACTTGAGTTGCCCCCTGCACAAGGCAGGGGGACTTGAGTTGCCCCCTGCACAAGGCAGGGGGACTTGAGTTGCCCCCTGCACAAGGCAGGGGGACTTGAGTTGCCCCCTGCACAAGGCAGGGGGACTTGAGTTGCCCCCTGCACAAGGCAGGGGGACTTGAGTTGCCCCCTGCACAAGGCAGGGGGACTTGAGTTGCCCCCTGCACAAGGCAGGGGGACTTGAGTTGCCCCCTGCACAAGGCAGGGGGACTTGAGTTGCCCCCTGCACAAGGCAGGGGGACTTGAGTTGCCCCCTGCACAAGGCAGGGGGACTTGAGTTGCCCCCTGCACAAGGCAGGGGGACTTGAGTTGCCCCCTGCACAAGGCAGGGGGACTTGAGTTGCCCCCTGCACAAGGCAGGGGGACTTGAGTTGCCCCCTGCACAAGGCAGGGGGACTTTAGTTAATGTTGAAGATGTCGAAAGTTGTTGTTGAAGAACTGTTGATGTTGGCGTTCTAGAAAAAAAAAGAAAATTGAAAATGTTTAGAAACTTGGTCCCAAAAATTTGCGGATTTGTCCCCTATTTTTCATACAATTTTTAAAAAAAAAGAAACCCTAATAGATACTGAAGCACCATGCAAACATTGACAGGATCACAAACAATTCCATCGCTCCGAAAACAACTTTGGCTATGTGTTGTCGAATGGGTTTGATTCCGTTGTTGAGCATGTAAGAGCCTTAAAAATAATTTATTTTTAAAAAAAATTTCGATTTTTAAAGTAGAGGAATATGTTTATAAACAATAAATAGATCCTTAAAAAAGAAAATTCAAGCAGTTTTTCTGCAGACTATCCGAAAAAAATTGTGGATTGTTTAACGGATACGAAATTTTTTGCGAATCTTCTTCGGACTATCCGAAAAAAAACTTTATTCAAAAAATTACAAACCAAAAAATTTTTCCTCCACAAGCGTCCAACAAACTCGAAGCTTTTTGTAGAACATCTTCTGCATAAATATTGATTTTTTGCTGGTCCACTCCCTTTACTTGTTGTATTAAATGGAAACTGATTTTAAAAAATAATTAAAAAGTTAAAACTAAATTTAAAAACAAAAATATAAAACATGCATTTAATTAGCATTTAGAAAATATTGATTTAATAAAAAGTTTTTTTAAAGATTTATCGTCAAAAAAAAAAATAAAGTTAATTTTTTATACACATACTCTAGAATAATAATTACCCTCACTCAAATAACTAGCCTCTTCCTATTTAATTAGTCCTTCCAGAAAACTCGTAAACTAGCCCCTCCCTTTTAGAGGTCCAGGGTAATTATTGGAGCATATATAATGTATATATTTTTTGGACAAATTTTTGGCTTTTAAATACATATAATAAAAGTAAAAGGAAAAAATACAAATCAGAGAATACATAAATAATGAGAAAAACAAACAAAAATTTTGAAAATTTTTGTAAAAACAAATCAAATTATTGAGTGAATGAAAGATAAAGATTGGCAGTACATAATATATATTTTTTATATTCCTATTTTTTTGGCTTACTTAATTCGAAAGAAAATAAAGTACTTGGCAATTGTTTCGACAGAAAATTTTATTTTGATTATAAAGATGGGTCAAGACTCAAAAGGGTCACAAACATCATGCTTTCTGCTAGCAAGGGAAACTTGGGATAAAAAATTTTTTTCAGGCCCCCTTACCAAGTACCTAAAAATTGAAGAGAAAACAAAGAAAATACAAGTTCACTAATATTCCCTCAATATTTTAAATTTATTTGTGATATAGGCACCGAGAACTACTTTTATTGAAATAAAAGAAAACTAACGTAAAATCAAGGTAAAAAATACAAACAAACGAAAAAAGGAAACATAATTTAATTGAGGTATCCACGACATTGAGAAGCACCACAAAGGCAAGGAATTTTTACATCTTCAAGAGGAAATTTGTAGTCATACTGAAAATGTTAAAAATAAATTTTTTTAAATGAATAAATGGATGGCAAAGTTAATTAAGTGAATAAAGGGGGCAGGTTACAATTGGTTCAAGCTTGACTTAGAAGTAGATCAAACCGTACACGCATCCAACCACATACTATACTGGACTAATTCTAGATCCAACGCTTCCTATTTTCGCCTATTTACCTACGTGCTTGGGATAATCTAAAGGAAGATCCCATCCCTTACATTAAAAAAATTTTTTTTAGCTTACTAACCGTAATCTCTTCTCCCTTTTGAATAAATCGCTTGCTGTAAATTACAATCCTCTTTTCACCTTGAACAGTCAAAACTTTTGCATAACAATTTGGCTGGCACGAATGGTTAATAAACCGAGCAAAATTGCCTTTTTTGGTGGCATCAATTACCTTAAATAAAAAATAAAATTTTCAAAAAAATTACAAAAATTTTTCCAAAAAAAAATTCTCCATTAAAAAATTTTTTTTCGAAAATCCTCAAAACTAAAAAAAACTCACAACATTTTCATCAATTCTAAATAAATAGGAAGAACCAATTCCTTGTTTTTCATAAGCCAATTCGCGCACATTTGCAACTTCTGGTCGAATTTTTTCACCAATATACTCGACGATCATTTCATCGGGAGCTATAGCTTCCTAAAAAATTAAATTTAAAAAACTAATAAAGAAATTAATTACCAAAGAGAACAACCCCCATCCATGAATTCGAGAACGTGCAAATTTGATCATTTTGCTGCGATACTGAAAAAAAAAGAGAACAAATTTTTAATGTAAAAATAAATAAAAACAAAAACAAAGAGAACTCGAAAAAACTAAAAAGAAGACAGCCGTAAAACCAAACTACTTCACACATCCACAACAACAACAAAACTTTAAAAAAAGGTAACCTTTGAATCAACACAAGATCTTGACTCCTTTGAATTATTAAATACCCCTCCTCCTCCTCCACCATCAACAACAACATCATCATCAATATTATTATCATTTAAAGTAGAAGAAGTACCAGCAACACAACCACCACCATTATTTGAAGAAGAACAAGTTAATAAATAACGCTTTTTGGTTTTTATTATAGGATATCCAATTACATCATTATCAATATTTAAATTGATAAGATTACACTTATTATGTAAATCATTTTTTGTTTTGGTAATAAAAGAAGATTTGTGGTTATCTTCTTCTTTGTTTTGGACATCTTGGTTATTATTGGTAAGTAATATAGGATTTTGTGGAGTTCCTTGGTCAATATTCTACAAAAAAATTAAAAAGAAAATCTTAATTTTGAGAGAGAGAAAAAGAAGTGTCTCCTATTAGAGAGGCCAGTGATTTAATCATAAAATATTTAAAAAAATAAGCAGGGTTGCCCAACAAAATATAGACACCTTCTAAGATTTTTTAAACACTCCAACACTCTTAAATTTCTTATAACCACATCGACACTCAACTCGATTTCAAAAACATAGACTAAAAATAGAGGCAACCCTGGATAGAAAAAATTTAAAAAAGTCCAGCTTCAAAATTAAATTATCTTTTATTTATTTAATAAATTTTCTAATCTAATAACGTGTTCTCAAAAAAATATTTCCAAAAATATATTCAAAGCTGGACTCGAGAAATAAGAAAAAACATAAGACAAGAAAGCAAAAAGCACAAAAAACGAAAAAATTAAAAAAATGAGTTTAACCTTTAATTGATTTCCACGTAAAGAACTAGCAAAATTAGGTGTTGATACAACATTATTATTATTTGTTGAACTTGAAGTAGTAGCTTCATCAACCAAATTTGAATTTTTGTTAGTATTATCTTGTTGCTGTGAATTATTTTTGTTGGTAGTAATATTATTATTATTAGAATTATTTGAAGAAGAAAATAATGATGTTGAGAATAATGAATTGCCTATTGAACGAACTGAAAATTAAAAAGATAATAATAAGATCAGAAATAAATTTTTTAATAATTGTTAAGGCATGCATCCCTTAAAGGGTGATGCGTCCAAAAAATTTTTTATGTCCCAAAGAATTTATTTATTGAAGCGCATAAACTCAAACGACGCGTCGTCTCTTAAACCAGAATCAACTTATTGTTAGAAAAAAATTTTTTCTTTAAGTGTTGTCCCGATAATTATTTTCTTGCGTCTCAGAAACAAAAATAAATTTTCTTGAGACACATAGCCCTTCAAGAGACGCATGACCCAAACCAGAATCAAAGAAAAATTTTTAATAAAAATTTAAAAAATTTCATACTTATTGCTCTTTCACTTTTCAATGCTTGACTAACATGTCTTGCAATTATTTCATCCTGAAAAAATTAAAAGAAAATTTCGAAAACTCAAAACAAAAATTAAATACTTGAGTGCTTATTGTAGTTTTTAATAAATGTGGTTCGTTGTTTATTTGTGGAATAGATGCTGTTGTTGTTGCTCTACGCATTAATGTATGTCTTGGTGCACCAGTTTTTAATTGTTCCTTTAGAAATTAAAATAAAAATCAGGAATTTTAAATAAAACACAAAACAAAAAAAATTACAAATCAGAATGACATGTAACAACCGCAAACATAAAAAAAGCATTTCAGAAAAAAAATCAGAATTAAAAAATATATAAAAATACAAAACAGAAACTCAAATAAACAATGAAATCAGAGATTCGAAATCAGATCTCTTTTTTTCAGAAATACAAAAACACAAAAAATCAGAAAATTAAAAAGATCAGAAATACAAAATCAGTTCCTTCAGAAAAACAAAAATACAAAAATATCAGAATTTCTTCTAGTCAAAAATAGAAAGAATAAAACACGCACAAAACAAATTAAAAATCAGATTTTAAATAAAAATCAGAAATACACAAACAACACAAAAACACAAGCTTAAATTAATTTGAAAAAATAAAAACTAACCATTTTCTGTCTATCCTTTTTACGTATATAATTTCCTTCAGTACGAGCACAACCACTTAAATTTGGAATTACTCCATCTAATTCAACATCGTTGTAAAAATAAATTTTATTGTTGTGATTATTTGAAGATTTGGAAGAATTTTGCCAATAAGTGGGCTGAAAAAAAAATTTTTTGAGAAAATTTTTAAAAATTAAAAGAAACCATAGGAGGGTCAACTTCAACAGCATCTTCAGGTTCAACCCATTTAAGCAGTGGGAAACCATGTTGATGGCGAAAAATGTTGTTTTTGACACTTTCACAAATTTTATTTTCAAGGATAAAATCATCTCCCAACAATTCAACAACCATTCTTAAATAAGCAACTTCTTCTAAAGCTAAACCTTCCTGCAAAAGAAAAAAATTTTTTTATCGGAAGAATTTTATTCAAGATTACCTTTTCAAAAGAAAAGATTGCTTCTTGTTCTTCATCAGCTGAACGTTTAGACCAGTTTTTAGTAGATAATGGAAAAGAATTTTGTAAACGGCTAACAGCTGTTGTACTAGGCCATTCTGCATAATCTCCACAAGGATGAAAATGCCTTTAAAAGGAAAAATTATTTTTATTATGAAATTTTTTTAGTTTTTGTAACTCATATTAAGTGAAACTAGAGAAGTATCACTAACCCGTAACTTAAAGATTGAGGGGGTATCTTACAGCGAGGCTTGATTAAAATAAAAATTTTTTAAACAAACTTTTTCTTCTTTTTTGTTGGTGAAGATGATGATTTTTTATCTGCTGTTGTTGGACTTTTAATAATAGCTGTTGTAGACAAAGGAGATTCTTCTGATACATCTTGTTCTTCTTCTTTTAGTTTGATAGAAGGTAGTGGAATGGAAACAAGTTGAACTGAGGAATTTTTAGATGGAAGTGGTTTACTGAAAAGAAAATAATTTCAGTCTAGTGGTTCCCAAGATCGAAAAAAAGAGTACACCAAAACAAGGTGTACATCAAAGTGTACAGGCAACTCTTCCCTCCCCCACATTCTAAAAAAACCCACATAAATTGGTATGGGTAAACAAATCGAGAGATTCGACTGTTTATTTTGAACAAACAAAAAACATTATAAACTCTAAAAATTACAAACCTTTTTTTATCTGCTTCCTTAGATTTCATTTTTTTATCATATACAATAAATCTTGCACATCCACCAGTTTCAACAATATTTTTGTTGTTGTTTTTATTCTTCATAGTCTCAGGTTGATTTTCTACTAATAATAATGGTGGCGGTAAAATTTCCAAGTCCAAGTCGAGAGACGTTGTTTTTGTAGTTGCTGTTGATGGTTTTAGTGTCTTCAATCTCTCAGACCTTAAAAAAATAATGAAAAAATTATTAACAGAAACATGAAAAATAAAAATTTAGTAAAAGAATTCGGGACAACAAATAAAAAAAATTAAATAAGGTTTGAATCTTGAAGATTATACCGAAATTATATGAAGAAACAACCCACAAAAAAGCAAGCTTCTTTAAATACACACAGGGAGAATAAAAACAAAAAATAATAATTGTAAGCGATAAAGGCGCCTTTTTATAGTGTCCTACTGATTCAAACAGAAAAAAAATTTACAAAAAAAATTTTTTCTAAAGATTCTTGGAAAAGCTTTTTTTAGTTTTTATGAAGGATCTTCATATTCACAAAAAAATAAAAAAGAACAAACCATTCAATTTTCTCAGAAGCAGGCAATTTGTCATCATCAATAATATCACCCTCATCTACAACTTCTTTTATTGATAAATCCACAGATGTCGTTCTCTTCTTTTCCAAAATATTCTCTTCATTTTCTTCCCCTTCTGTTTCAGATACAATTGTTGATGTTTGTTGAGAAACGTCCTCCTCCTCTTCATCTGATGAATCACCACTTGTTGAAGATGTTGCTGTTGGAGAAGCAGAACGGGAAGAAGAAGCAGCAGAAGCATTTGATGATGAACGTGAAGACTTTACAGATTCAGAACAAATACTGGTACTGAAAATATTAGAAAATAGATGCTTTGATTTTCAGATATTTCGAAAAATTAAAAATATCTTCGAAAAAAAGACAGTAGTGTCTTATAGCAGTAATGTTAAAAATTTTTCAAAATCAAAAAAAATTTTTCTTACGTTCTAGCTCTTCTAGCCTTAACGACTTTTTCTTCCTCCTCATCTTCATCATCCAAACGTAAATGTTTACGTTTTGGCCCACCAAATTTCTTGTCTTTTTCATCGAGACATTGTGTGGTTGTTGATCTTTTGCGACTTGTTGTTGTTGCTGTTTTCTGTAAAATTGGTTCGGGAGATGGAGGCTTAGGTTTCTAAAGAAGGAAAAAAATTTCTAACTAAAAAATTAAAAAAAACCCTTCGAATTTTAGGCAAAGAAGTAATTCTTGCAGAATGAGAAATTCCAAATAATCCAGTTTTTTGATCCAAATTGAAAATAAGTGTTGATCCATTAAAACCTTTGAAGGGAAAATTTTATTAAAAAACAAAAAAATTTTTCAATTATAAATTGCTTAAAGCGAGCTAAAAAATTCAAAAAAAAGTATTCAAAAAACATCCAAACCTTTTTCACCATTTCCAACACTATTGAAACTAAACAATTGATCCAACAAATTTCCTCCATTTCTAATTGTTTGTAATGCCAATCGTTTTTGTTGTTGTCCATCACCTTGGTCAATATTCAAGGAAGTTTGCTGAGAATCTTGTAAATTTTCATTTTCATCAGCAAGTTGTTGTCTCTTCTTTGCTTCCTATAAATATAAAATATGCTTAAAGGAGAGCATCAAAATATTCGGTAAAAATCGGGGATGACGGGTTGAGAAAAATGTCGAATCTGGTTCGGATCGAGTTAACAAATCACATCAGATTCCGAATTTCGGATCCTTGGTGTCTCAACCCCCGAAAATTATTGGTCATTAAATAATATCAAAAATTAATCAAAAGAATTTAAAAAGACCTCCAATCGCTCTTCAAAAATTTTATCAAGTATTTTTAATGCTTCAGTTTCCACTCGTCGGTCAATGTCTTGTTTAACAGCCAGAGAAAGCATTGAAGTCAGCGCATTTATTGTATATTGTAAAGTTATAGAAAATTTGTCCTTCAAAAGGATATTCAAAAATTTTTCAAAAAATTCAAAAAATACCCTTTCCATAGTCCTTCGTCTAGGATATACCAGTTGATTATTAGTTCCATATACATGGGAAGAAGCAAATGCCAAATTAGTCTCTGGTGGAGGACGTATTGGTGGAGTCATAAAACGTCCATTAAGTCTTTAAAATTTATAAATTACAAAATTTAAACTAATTAAAAAAGGAAGAATTAGCTTTGTATCCCTGGGGCAAAAAAAAAACAAGACAAACCCAAAAGCAAAAAAAAATATTCATAAAAAATAGAACCAAATCTGATTCATTCTTTAAAAAATTCTTATGAGTTCCATGAATAAAACATTGTTACGTCCTGATCCTCTAGACCCACAAAAAATCATACAGAACAAAAAATGCACAAAAAAATGCAATTTACCTTCGATCAAATAAAGGTTGAGGAGGAGGTGGTTGACCTCTAGGACCAGAATATTGACGATGATTATTGCCATTTTGATTAAATTGATTTGAATAATGAAATCTTCCACCACAGTTTCGTTGTTGTTGAAAACGATTTTGTTGGTGATTGTGATGATAATTGTTGTTATTATAATTATTATTATTTTGTTGATGATAATTTCCATAACGTTGACGTTGTTGATTGTTGTATATTGTTGGATGAGATCTACGGTGATCTTGATAATTTCTATCCTAAAAATTAAAAGATTAAGTCAGAATGGTAAAACATGTGCCAATATTTTTTAATAGCTGAAAGTGGACTAAGGATGGGTCGGTTTACCTAACATGCCGGACTTCCTTCGACCTTAAATATGCCTAGTCATCACCCTAATAATATATCCATTAATGATTTTGAAAAATGAACATAAACTAAGCGTTTCTCTCATGCCTACATAACATCATGAGAAGAGAGTGGAACTCTCGAGACAGAGAAAACTGTCCAAAATTACTAAAAAAAACCACAAAAATAGAGACCATTCATAAAAATCATCCCCCAAGGAACAAATAGATACCAACAAACCTTATCTCGTTGATAAAAATTCCTTTGGCGTTGATCCCTCCATCTTTCATCATCCCGTTGATTCCAAGTAGTAGATTTTACATCCTTCCATTTATCAAATCCATTTTTACAAAATTCTTCATCATTTTGGAGCTGTTCGCCACTACCAAAAGAACAAGAAGGATCGCTGATTGTCTAAAAAGTATTTTAAAAAACAAAAAAAAATTAAAAAACCTTATTCAAGTTATTGCTTTGAGATATAGGATGATGATTTGCACATTGAGTAGAAGAAGAAGATGTGGAAGATGAGGAAGCATTTGCAGTGTCAGAAGAAGGAGACTATAAAAAATTTATAGTTAAATTAATAAATTAAAAAGGAAATTTCAAAAAATCCAAATTTGTAAAAAAATAGAAAAAAACCTTAAAAGATGTTGCAGATTCAACAGATTTATTTGGAGATTTATTATTATTATTTTCATTATCCTTTTCCCCATCAATTGTTGTTGTAGCAGCAAAACAAGATGCTTCAATATCTTCATTACTTGAAGAACAAAGTTTTGTACATGAAGTAGATAAATTATTATTTGAGCGACGAGTTAGAAGTGCTGCTAATCTAGATTCAAGTGATCGTTGTTGAGGAGGTGTAGGCGAAGAAAGTTGTGGAGGTGATATCTTTAAAAAAATAATTTTTAAAAGTAAAACCTCAGAAATATTTAAAAATAGCAGAAATTGTAATATACATTAATACACGTTGTTTGCTCATACCAGAGATGCCACGGATTAAGAAAAAGGTCAGCATTCCGAGTTTTCTAAATTTTATCCGGACCGGGTTTAAGATTGATAAAAAAATTTATTTCAAGTAGACTGACATCCCTGACCAGCTTGTCCCGCAAACCGACTGGTCAACCAAATTTAAAAAAAGATCTTGAATTTTGGGTATCTTATAATGAAGCCTATGATAACAAGTCTCAAAATCAAAAAAATTAATACAAAAAAACCTCTTGTTGTTGTTGTTCCTTTTGTTCACAATCTTCAATAGAAGAATTATTTTGTGAAATATTTTCAACTAGTAAATGAGGTTCATGTTCTAAAATCACAATTTTATTGTCTGCAGTTTTCTTTGGAGTAACTAAGGCAATTGGTGGAAGAAATGTTGAAAGACTAGTTGTTGATAAAGAAGGTGGTGACAAATGTTGTTGCTGGTGTGAACATCTTATAGAATCAAAAGAAAATTTTGTCGGTGTAATCGGTGTAACAGCTGTTGTCGTTGTTGGAGTTGAATTTATAACGTTTAGAGAAACGTTGTTACTGTAATGAAAAAGATTTCAAAAAATTTTTCGTTCGCAAAACTATTTGCGAATTTTTTAAATCGTTTAGCCGACATAAGTTGAAAGATTAAACAAACCTCAAAGTAATCGGAGTAAAGTTTAAGCGTTCTTCAAAATGCTTCTGGCCATCAACATCTATAAAAATAAATTTTTTAATCTTTTAATAACAGAATTAATAACAGACTCAAAAGCCCCCGGCGTAGCCGGGGGCTTTTGAGTCTATAGCCCCCCTCCTTGAAATTGAATAAAAGGAAAGATTTGGAAGAAATATATTTCTTGCTTATGACCTTCAGGATTCTCAAAATTTTTGCCTAGAAATGACGGAAATCTGGCCAAACTGTTAAGAAATCGCCAAAGTAAACGCCAAAATTTTGGCGTACACTACATTTTTGCCCCTTATAATCAACCCATTGGCTACGCCCTTGACCTAATGATCAAAAATTTTTAAAATTAAACAACAAAAACCTTTTGCATCCACAACAACAGATGAAGCTTCAGAAACATCATTTTTTGGTACAACTTGCAAAGGAGGAGCATCTTGTGTAGAAGCTATTGGTGTTTTCTTCAAATCCTCTTTAATACTACGTCGATGCTTAAAAAATGTTAAAAGGATAAAAAAATTTTTTTAAAGTTAAAAAACCTCGCGTTGTTTTGAATTTTTTAATGGTGAAGTAGCATTATTATTGCCAGATTTTTTATTTGATGTAGTTTTCTCTTTCGATGAGACACCATTTTCTTTAAAATAAGATTTAATTTTTTTCTTTAAGACAAGATCCTATCAATAAGCTCAAAATCCAGCCTCTAAATAAGCTTTTGACTTGAGTATTCCCCTACTCTTGTCCATTCGTTTTCAAAATTCGGCAGGAATACCCAGTAAAAGTATTCCTATGCATGTGTGCAACTGAGTTCCCGAACCAAAAAAGAACTTACAACGGAATTCTCCTCAAAAAATTTTTTCTAATCAAAAAAAAATAAATACCCAAATTTGTCCAAGTCTTTTTCAATACATCCCCATCTTCATCTTTGTATCTTTGCGCCAACAGTCCACGAATATGTTGAATTGTTTTTTCATTGAAAATAAATCTATAACGCTCAGGGAGTTCCAATTCTTCACCAACACGTAATTTGTAGAGTTCTCCAAGTTTATAAACTTGAAAAATTTTTTAGAAAATTATTTTAAAAATTAAAAAATACCAAAAGGGTCAAAGAAACATTGAACTTCTCTTCCCATCATTGGACGGCCATGATGACGTAAAATGAAAAGCTATAAAATAAAAAATAAATTTCTTTTAACAAAAAATATAACGGAAATGTGAAAGCTGTTCTTAAAAATAAGGTTGATTTTTTCTTGATTTTTTTTGTTTACGGGATTAACCATTGAGAAGCCCAACTGTTAACAAAGTAACGAACAGGTCAATGACGAGTCTAGACATTCCAAAATATGTATGACCCATAAAAACCAGAAATACAACAAAAGTTCAAAAAAATTCAAAAAAAAACCTTTCCATCTCTGCAACTATAAAAGTCAATTAATGCCATTCCCAAATGACTTCCAGTTGTTGGATGACGCAAAATTTTAATTTGAAGAGGTGTAATGCCAACAGTTGAAACATAGGACGTTGATAATGAAGTAGTTCCTTCTCCATCGTTTGAAGGTGTTGAGAGATTTGTAGTCGAAGAATGCGTTAGTTTCCTTTTAGAATTGAAATATTAAAAAAAATAGCGGGTGAATTAAATAACAGCAGCCTATTGTCAGCCAGAAGAGACATTGGCCGGAAATCAGGGATGGATTCTAGAGATATACTGGTCGGGCTTTCGATAGACCATTAGCGTTGGCGGATCCGAATCCGAAGCACGGAAATCCGAAAACAGTTTCCCAAAGTGACCACAACTCTGATTCATTGGGCTGGGCATAGCAATGCCCAAAAAATTTTTGAAAGTTGAATGATTCATAAAATGAAGTAGGATTTTTTAGCCCACAGGTAGGTCTTTCTTTAGAACCATCGACCCTAATAGCTAGTACCTAATTTTGCAAAAGGGGAAGTATTGCCAAAAGAATTAAAAAAATATACTTGCAAAGCTGTAAAAGAAATTTGTCGTCAATATTGTCATTTAGCCCAACCAATGCCACTTCCCGTCTAGGGGGGATAGCGCAATATTCGTCATCGAGCTAAAATTGAATTTTTTCTAATTCTCAAAAATAATTTAAAAAACCATAAACTCAGGAACAGGCAGATCACAGGTCGAAAGTTTAACAATTTTGCGCGGGTCAGGAGGTTTACGTGGGTCTTGAACAGTGGTGACATTAAACTGAAAAATACAAAATCACTTTGTAAATAAATTTAAAAATAAACAGAACAGTTGTACAGTTGTCAAAACCTATGAGACTAGTTAAAAGTCAAACTTTTAAAATAGAAAGTCCGCTGGCCGGATTCGAACCCACGACCTATCAAGTGACAAATACGGGTGTTTATTAATACAACAAATTGACTTAAAACGATTAAATCAATCTTCTAAAACTTATTAAAAACCTTTAGAACTTGTTAAAAGTCAGGTTTTCAAAAATAAAAATTAAAAGTCCACTGGCTGGGTTCGAACCCACGGCCTATCAAGATCACAAATACCATTACACCAAACTGCCCTAACACACCCAAACCGATCCTGAATGCCAGCAAACTCAGTAAATTTACAAAAGCTTAACATACAACCTTTACAAACAGACTCGTAGTTAATTTAAACAAATTCCCCAACCAATCCCCAAACTATATAAAACTTTTAAAAAATCCCGTATACCTGAGGAAACTCTTCACAAATTCCAAATACTCGAAAAACTGCAAATTTAGGATCCGGATTGTTTGGGTTTGTAAACCGCCTCCAAGATGGTTTAATTTGTTGTTGAGTCAAGTCATTTGAAGCACTACATGGCTCTTGAGATTGTTGCATAATAATTCTTAAAAACTAAAAAAATCAACAAAAAATCTATAAAAACATGAAATGTGGATTTTAATTAAAAAGAGCGATCATCTACCTTTACAAGGTGAAAAGGTAAAAGTGTAAAATAACGAAAGAAAATGTAACAACGGAAGAGAAATGAGAGAGAAATGCCAAAAAAGAAAAAAATGAAGAATTTTGAGTAAATAGCAAATAGAGTCTGAAAACTAAAAAATATAAAAGCTAGACTCAAGTGTTCCGTACTGAAATAAAAATAATTTTACATTATGCCAAACAAAATGGGATAAAATGTCATTTTTATTTTTAGGCACTAAATTAAAGAATAAACGAACAAAAACATGTTTGGGAAACATGTTTTACAAAACATGAAACATTTTTCACAAAACTTGTTTTACAAAACTTTTTTTCTTTGTTTTTCAAAACAACCTATAAAACGAACAAGAACACAAGAGTCTAAGCAAGCGGACAACTAAAGAGATAATTTAATTTAAAAATATAAATAAATTTTTTTAATTAAAAATTTTTTTCTTAAATTTTTATACGTCAAAAAAAATAAATTTTTGAAAAAATGAATGAAATTAAAAAAATAATCATTGTTAAATAATTTATTAAATTTATCCTTTTATTGTGTCTCTCTTCTTTTTATATAATATTTTCTTTTTTTCTTCACTGGGTATGTTGTTGTTTTGTTTTTATTTTGTTGTTGTTGATGTTGTGTTTTTATTGAGCATTTTTCCTGTTGTTTCTAATGTTTTGTTGTTTTTGTTGTTTTGAACAAGTTTGTTGGAATTGTTTTTCTTGCGCAAAATTGTTTGGAAAGCCTTTAAAACAAAAACATTAAAATTAAAAACAAGTTTATTTAATGTTATTAAAACATGTTTTGCAAACTTTAAACATGTTTTTAAAACATGTTTTGCAAACTTTTCCCTTTAGTTCTAAAACATGTTTTTCCACTTTATTTTCAAAACTTGTTTTTTAAACTTATTTTTACAACCTTTTTACCAACTTGTTTTTAGTCATTTTTTCCCAACTTGTTTTAAAACTTGTTTCTTTCCCAACTTTGTTTTTAAATGTTTTTCCCTCTGTTTTTAAAAACACACCTTTTCATCGTTGTTGTGTACAATTGTTTCTCTTTCCCTATCATCGCTGCTACTTCTTTCAGCGTTGCTTGTTGTTGTGCTAGGTGTAGGTGAAACAGAAGAGTGTTGATTCCATTCTAAACCACTAGTTTCAAAAAGATCACTACAAGTAGAGGTAATGTTTGTTGTTTTACTGTCTCTATTTAAACTTTGCCCACTCCCCCCACTATAAAAACATTCAACAACAACAGGTTCATAAAAGAGAAGAACATAAAGTTTTGGGCCAAATATAAATATTAATAATAATGTTGCAGTTAGTTGTAATTCAATAACAGTTGTAAAATCCAAATAAACCGGGCTGATCAAAACATGACTTACTGCCCACAAACATAGAATTATAGTGCAACTTAAAAAAGAAAAAACTTTAAAAAAAACATAGTCAAACATGTTTTACAATTTGTGATTGAATAAAACTTGTTTCTAAACTTTTTTTACAAATTGTTTTCTAACATATTTGTAAAACTTGTTTTCCAACATGTTTTAAAAACATATTTTTTCAATTTATTTTTTACAACTTGTTTTCCAACATATTTGTAAAACTTGTTCTCCAACATGTTTTTCGTATTTTTATAAACTTGAGTGTATGAATTATTTCTCCCAACATGTTTTACAATTTGTTTTACAACCTAATTTCCCAACAAAACTTGTTTTTCAATTCTTTCCTAAACATGTTTGTTTAAACTTTCTCTTACCTCAGCGATGTAATAAACAACCATTTTGCTTCTTTATAGTTTCGCTTAATGCTTCTATTTTTTGAACTTAATAAAAGTGCTAAAAGTAGAAGGAAAAAAGTGTAGATTTGTGCAAGCAAAAAGTTTGGTGATGAATACGAACATAATAATATTAGAGGGTGTTGTTTTTGTGTTTCCAAATTTTGTTGTGAAAATAGTTGAAAATTTTGTTGTTTTGCCCCAATAATATATTCTAACGGTTCAATTAAAAACCATTTCATACAAATAACAAATTGAACAGCAAAAATAAATGCTAAAAGAAGCCAATAATTCCAATAACTAATAGTATGTTGTTTTGAAGAAGTTGCCAATGTTTCAGCATTTTTTAATTGTATTGCTTTGACTATAATTACACCAAAACATAGTGTATGGGCGAGAGAGTGTGCAGAGATTCGAAGATGACAAATCTGTGTTTGTGTTATAGAGAAAAAAAATAAAACTTAGTTTTTACAATTTGTGTTTTTCAAGTTTTAAGTTGTTTTTACAATTAAGTTTAATTTTCAAAACATTGTTTTTACAAAATGTTTTCAAAACTTTTAATTTACAGACTTTTTACAAATTGTAAAACACAGTTAGAACTTGTTTTCAGGTTCTAAACAAAGTTTATTTTTCAAACTTGTTTATAAGAAACATTTTTACAACTTGTTTTTACAATTAGGTTCAATTTTTCAAACTTGTTTCTAAAAAATATTTTTGCAACTTGTTTAGAAACTGTTTTTACGATTTGTTTTACAAAACTTTATTTTACAACTTGTTTTTAAAACTCTTTTGTACAAATTGTAAAACATTATATAAACTTACCAAATTACTGGGTGTACTAGCAAACAAAAACCCTGTAGCATACAACGAACATATTCCAATTAACAACAAAATTCCAAGCGATTGATGTCCTTTTATTGTTCTCTGATACATTTTAAATAAAATTAGCAACAATGTTGCCATTGCTAAAACACAAAGTATTCCGCTCAAAACAAAAAATACAATTCTTAGAGCTTCATTTAATTCTTGAGACATTGAAAATTCATTTAATTGGGAAATTTCCTTAAAATTTTTTTTGAAATTTTAAAATTTAAAAAAATTACAGGGAAATTAGTTCCATCATAAACTAGCAATAATTCCTCATCATTTCCATTTAACATTGTAGGCTTTGCAGGCTCTCTTCTGATATAAGGATTAGAGTAAGTATGGTGTGTTGTTGTGTCGTCGGAATCGTCGTTGTCATCAACTTGTCTTTAGAGAAAAATTTAAAAAATTAAAATAATTATTTTTCAAAAAGCCGGACCTTCTAGTAGAAGGACATTTACAAAAAGGAGCACGACATCTTGAAATAATTGGAGGTAACCATTGTAATTCTTCTTCTCCTCCTCCGTTTTCTTCAGAATTTGTAATAAAAGGTCGATATTCTGATATAAAATGAATTTGGTCTGAATTTGTTGATTCAGGGGACGATGAGGAGGAGGAAGAATAATTTGCAAATAGTTTGTATCCAAAATTATCTTTAAAATAAATTTAAAAAATTATTATTTTTATTTAAATTTGATTAAGTTAATTTTAGCTTAAACAAATGTAAGACTCAGGTGTTTGTTTGTCAAATAAAAATATGTTTGTAAAACATGTTTTACAAATTATTAGTACTTTTTTAATGTTGGGAGAACAAGTTTGTAAAGGTTTGTAAAACTTGTTGAGAAAATAATATAGGAGAGAAAAAGTTGTAAAACAAATTTTACAAAAAAAGAGAATAAGTTGTAAAACAAGTTTGTAAAACTTGTTTAAAAAAACTTTTTTTGAAAACTTGAGAGAACAAGTTTGTAAACGTTAGTAAAACATGTTGAGAAAATAATATAGGAGAGAAAGTTGGAAAACAAGTTTTACAAACAAGTTTTTCATAAACAAACAAGTTTTCAAAATTACAAACTTACTTTCATCTCCATTAGAAACAAGTTGGTAAATTTCATATTCAACAGGCTCTTTAAGTATAAGTTGGGCATAAGTGTTTCTAATTAATTTGCGTCCATTTTTATTAAATTCATCACAAATTAATGGTTTTATTTCATTTGGGCATAATCTAAAATTAAAAAAATTAATTTTTGAATTAATTTTTTTCTTCAACTTCTTATAAGTTGAATCAATAGCTTCCAGCAATAATTGAATTCCTCTAGTTAAGTAGCCTGCGCGGGTAAGACGACCCATTCCATTAACATCCAACAATTCTTCCCCAGTACACAAACGTCCATTAAATCGTTCTATGTTGCTTTTAGACCTTTAAAAAATTTTTCAAAATTTTTTTAATTTTTTAAAAATTAAAAATAAATTTTTACAGGGCGCATTGCCAATTTTCTTCAACATGACGCCAATACCAAACTTCGGGTAATGTGAGAGGGGTGATAGAACGAATCCAACTATGGAATTCTGGTGTTGTTAGGTCCTTTAAAAATAATAAAATTTTTCCTTGATTAAAAAAATATCCTTTTTCACCTTAGCCTGGAAGGAAACAGTCCCTGCATATTGTACCAAATTTGTTGGATCACGCAAATAAAAATCGTGTGCCTCCCCAATCATTATATGAACATTTTTTAAAGTACTCCCAGAAGCCATAAATTCGTCACGCAAACGAGCACTCATAAATTCTGCTGCCTTTAAAATAAAAACATTTAAATTATAAATTCAGCCTGTTTTTAAAAAAATCCCGCCTGTTTTGCTGAACTAAAAACAAGCGTAACATTAGCGTTTGGAACATTTAATAAAGTTTGTAAATGTTGGGATTGTTTTGTTTTTGTTGTTGTTGAATCATGTCTTTTCTTTTTTGATGTTTGGGAATGTTCAGATTCTTTAATGTTGTTGTGTTCGTCGAAACGTGTTGTTTGTTGGTCACCTATAAGTATTACATCTGAAGTACATATTCCGGTTGAGAGAAGCATAAATTGATTGTATAGAGAAACAGAAGTTGAATCCTAAAAAATAAGCTTGTTTTACAATTTATTTTTACAATTTGTGAAATTGCTTTCAAAAACTTGTTTTTACAACTTGTTTAAACATGTTTTACAAACTTATTCTTACAACTTGTTTTAAAAACTTATTTCAAAAACATGTTTTTCCACAAACTTTATTTCAAACTTGTTTTACAATTTCTCAAATGTTTAAAACTTGTTTCTAAAACACATGTTTTTCACTTTTCCAAAATGTTTTAAACCTTAAAAAAACATTTCTAATAAAAACCTACACTTTTATCAACAACCACATTAACATACGTCCAGTGCATTTTCTTCAAAAATTTAGCCAAAGCAATAGCTGTATTTTTATGACTTGGGCCCAAGTGGAAAAATGAATTTTTTGTATTTCTTGCTTCTTCAAATTCAGACAAAATTAAATTTGATTTTTTATTATTTTCGAATTTTTGCGACTGTCCAAGTGTTAATAATGGAGGGGATATTGTTGGGTTTGAAAAAATTGCGTCGAAAATTCCTTCTTGTGTTGAGGTTAATTCTTCTTCAGAGCCATATAAATAGCCTAAAAAATATTTTAAGAATTAAAAAAAAATTTTCTGATAGAAAAACGAGAAAATGTACCTATAGTTGCCCCATTCGCAATAGTCCAATTTCTCTCCATTTGTGTAAATTTATAACAATTTCTTTCAGAATCTATTAAAAATTCCAACAAATTTTTTGTATTAGAACAAGTATCAATTAAAAGTGCCCCAATCCCTGGAATTGAATCTGCTCCAGTAAAAAGGCCAGATTTTGGAGAAAATTGTTGTTGGAATGTTGAAATCTGTGAAAAACAATGTTTTGAAGGATTCTTATTGTAAAAACATTTGTTTCAAATTGTTTATTAAAACATGTTTTTACAACTTGTTTTTACAATTTGTAAAAACATTAAAACTTTTTTACAAACAAGTTTTAAAAACTCTCAAAACATGTTTTCTCATTTAAAACTTGTTTTACAAATATTAAAACTTGTTTTTGTACAAACTTAATTCCAACTTGTTTTACAATACTTACAAACTTTAAAAATGTTTTTACAATTAGTTTTACAATTTTTTTCAAACTTGTTTCTCTCAATAATTTTAAAAACATGTTTTAATCGTAAAAGTCTTCTACCGCATGTAAAAATGCTAAAGGTAACGAAACAGCTTCAGGATTATCTCTTCGTAAAATATTGCAATTTGTCCCACTTTGAAAATCAAAAAGTGCAGCAATATAAAGAGGTGAATTTTGTGGTAATAAACTAAGAAATGTTTGTTCTTCTTTTCGGTGAGAAGCAAATTCACATTTTCCCAAACAGTAGGGTCTTTAAAATAAAAAGAAAATATTTTTCAAGAAAATTCAGTATTTACCTATTTTGTCTACAATAGGAATGAATATTAGAAAGTTGTGAAGGTAGTTGAAATTTGCGTACATTTTTAGAAGCGCCTGTTTTGTACTCAATTAACCTTAAAAATAAAACTTTTATTAAAACACAAACATTCTGATTTGTAAAAACATCTTTAAAAACTTAATTTAAATCCTCAAAACATGTTTTCCTTAAAACATGTTTTACAAATATTAAAACTTTGTTTTTTACAAATTAAAAAGTTTTAAGAAAACTTTGTATATTTCAACTTGTTTTACAACTTGTTTTTCAACTTGTTCAGATTTGTAAAAACAAGTTTGTGAAAACCAGGTTTATTTATTTATTAAAAACAGAAAATTCTGATTTGTAAAAACATTACAATTTGTAAAACATGTTTTTTCCAGAAACTTAATTAAACTAAAAACATGTCGGAAACATTTCAGAATAAGCAAAACATGTTTAAATAAAATTCTGATTTGTAAAAACATTTAAATAAACACCCCCATATAATTAATTAATTCTGACTTGTAAATATTTTTAGAACCAGAATTTTCACGAAAAACAGCTTCCAACACAATTCCCTCCATTTGGATAAAATCCCCAAGTAAAAAAGGTTGAAAAAAGCGTAGTGTAGTTAATTGTTCTGAAAAGCCTGGAGGTAATCTAATTCCAAGTTGGGAGTTGTTTAAAGGTTGTAATTCAAGTAATTCATTCCGAATAGAGTCAAAACATGGTTGGGAAGGGGTTTGGCTGAAAGAAAAAATTTTTTCTTTAAAAAACTCAGAAAACGCTACCATTTCTTGCTTAATTCAGAATCTCCATCTATACGTTGTGCTGTTCTGGCCAAGGCAAAAATTAAAGGAATAATAGATTCAAGGGAAGCAGATTGTCTGAAATTGGGTAATTAAAAGAATAAAATAAAATCAGAATAAGGTTTTAATAAATCAGAATTTTACAGAAAAAAATCAGAACTAACACAAAAAACGACCAGAAAAAATCAGAATTGAAAATATTAAAATCAGAATATCACAAAAGGCTATCAGAACACGTCAGAATTAAAAATCAGAATATCATAGAAAAACCAGAAAAATCAGAATTCAAAATCAGAATCATGACAGAAAAATCAGAAAAAAATCAGAACACAATTACAACAGATCAGAACAGAATCTCCTAAGAAACTAGAAAAAAATCAGAATTATCACAGAAAAATCAGAACAAATCAGAATAACAATAAAAATCAGAACAATTAAATCAGAAACAAAATTTCAGAAAAATTCTGATTTCCTTCTAAATTTACCTACCTGTGCAATTCTGCAAGCCTTGCAGGGTTAAGCTGGTCATTTTCACAAGAAACTTTTCTTCCACCTTTATTTGTTGCTGTTTTATTACAATTATAAACTGTTCTAACATAAGCATTAAGTAAACTATAATGTTCGTGATTTGAAACTAATACACGAAGAAAATAGGCATTAAAATCAGCCAAATAACGTTGTTGACGATGAATTGAGATAAACTATAAATGATAAAAAAATTTTTTTATTGAATATAAGGCTAAAATGATGAAAAAAAATTTGTGACAAAATGGCCAATTTTTGGCAGAGTGGCCAAATGTCTATTTTTGTACTCAGTGACGAAATGTCCAAAAAAAATTCTAAAATTTTTTTTTGTAGATTTTAAGACTTACAATTAGAATTTAAAAATAAAAATATAAAAAAATATTACCTTTAATTTAGATTTAGAATTATCAAAAACAAAATTGGCATTTTGTTGATTAATAAAATCAAGAGTTTCCTCGTCTTCTCCTTCTCCATTATTATGGTTAGGCCAATCTATACTAACCCAAAGTTTTGCAATTGAATTAAATTCTTTATTTGAATTAAAAATAGTTGCCAAAATATTTTTGTTGACCAAAGAAACCTTTAAAAAAGAAAAATTAAAAATGAGGTGACATTTGATCCCATTTTTTAAAATTTAAATTTTATTATTAATGTTCCATAGATTTTCCAGGAATATTTTATTAAGATTTAGGCCAACTTTAGAGAGTCTATGATTTTTCTAAAAATCAAAAAAATAGAGAAGACAGTAAAAAACAAAAATAAAAAAGAGGTGACATTTGATCCCACCTACTTTTCCTAACTTTCTATCCTTTAAAATTATTTTTTTAATCTCTAATTTTTCCCCAAAATTAAAAAAATCTCCTCACAATAATTTGTGCATCACTTTGATTTAATACATTTATAATATTTGGGTGATCAACACTAATTATTTCAGATATTGATATATTTAGTTGACGAATTATTTCTACAAATTTATCGGTAATTGAAGAATCCTCGTTGTTATCAACTATTGATACCTGAAATAAAAAAAATTTTTTTTTGGAAAATTTAGAAAAATTTAAAAATGTCGAAAATACACTTCGCCAAAAATTTATAAAATCTTACCAAATTAGAATTTCCAATTAATTTAAGTAGCTCAACCAAAGTCTGGGCATAATCAAATAAAAGAGGAGCTGTGCTAATGAACCCAGTCACTCCTTGATCCAACAAAGCTTGTGCTGAAGAGGAGCTGAATGCTGCAATTGGTAGATTGTACGGTTTAAGTGCTTGGGCAACAGAATTGGCTGATTCTGAATCCTTTGGTGAGAGAACGGCTGGAAAAAATTAAAATTTGAAAAAAAATTTCAAAATGTCCAAAGCACATTTCGCCAAAATTTTTCGAAAATTTATTTACCAATAAGCCTGGGAGCTTCATTCCTCTTCCTCAGAGCCTCTTTATTGTTAAGCAAGCATTCAGTAGGATCATGAAACCCAACAGCATCGAGAAACCTCAATGATTGAGAAATAGCTTCTTTAGGTCTAGAACAACTGTCCCCAGCAAATAAACCGATACGAGGCCGTTTAGTGACATTTCTCATTTTATTGGTTTGTTCGTTCCAGTAGGCTAAAAAAATTAAAAGAAATTTTTTAAAATCTCAAGCTAGCATTAAGTGTAACTTATGATATTGTCAGTCTGTAATAATAAAAGAAAATCAGTTATAGTGTTGTTTCCCTCCCATAAGCCACACCCCTTTCTCACTCCTTTCTTATAAAACCCACCCATTGCCCATTGTATCGCAACAACATCCTGTACAGACGAAGGTTTTAATTTTAGACAGTCTTGAGTATGCAAAGGAAAAGCACCACCAATTTGGAAATGTCCGGGATCGGAAGGCAAAACTTTGAAAGAATCAAAAACATCACAACTTGCTTGCTTAAAAAATAAATTTTTAAAAATTCTCCAAAAATTTTTCCTTATTTTTAATTAAAATTCTTTCCCTCACCTCCTCTTTCACCACACTATTTTTAGTAGTTACAGTTGTTTCTTCCTCCCCTTCCTCTGAACTTTGATCAAATGCTGCTGCACTTTCTGCAGGTTGTTTAATTTTGCTATCAATATTTACATTTATAGAAAAGGTGAATGGAACGAAGAATGTTGTTAATATAATCAATAAAATAAATTTTTGACGTAATAAATTCATAGAAAAATTTTTTTGTTGTAAAGTTGAATAATTCTCTCCCAAAAAATTTTTAAAGTTGAGAAATCAGTCCATAATTAAATATTTAATTGAAGAAAAGTATTAGTTGTGCATAGTGAAGGATTTTTTGATTGCTAAAATTAAAGAAAAAAATGTTAAAATTAATTAGAAACAAAAAAATAATGAAAAAATTTTTTTTAAGTCATTAGGGATGCTATTCAACTAATAAGTAGTCAGAAGGGGTCGAACCTTGGTGACTCAGTGGACAAAAACAAGGACTCTACCCACTAGGCCACACACGAATATAACTTATTAAAAACAAGTTTAAACTAAACAAGTTTTAATAAAAACAAGTTTTGTTAAAACAAGTTTTATTTAAAAAAGTTTAAACAAGTTTAAACTAAACAAGTTTTAACCAAACAAGTTGTAATTCAACAAGTTTTAACAAAATTACAAATTGTAAACTTAATTTGTAAATTTGTAAAACAAGTTTAATTTTTGTATTATTTAAAATTCACCCCTATTAGTTATTTCCTCCCTTATTTAATGTTGCCAATTTTCTTATATTTTTGCAATGCAAAAATAATTGGTTAAAAGTTAGTTAAATATTATATGCTCAAATATTCACTATAACAAACAAGAACATTTGCTAACTAAAAATAAAATAAATTCTTTTTTTTCAGCAATTGTTTCACTCTACAAATCCCCTCTCTCCCCTACCCCATTTTTTGCTGTTAAACGCCTATTTTCGCATTAAAAAAATTTTTTTACAAAAAAAAAGAAAATAGTTTTAAAAAAGAAAAATTCTGTAAATATTTTTAGGTTTAAAAAAATTTTTAGAGAAAAAAAGAAAAATTGAAAAAAAAATATTTAAGTAAATTATAATAATTAAACTGGAGTTAAAACAATATTATCAGAAAAACAAGTCAAAACATTTGAGGTTTTAATAAAAACACATGCAAATTGTAAAACTTAAAAACAAGTTGAAAAAAACAAGTTTTAAATATAAATACAAACTTGTAAACCTAATTTTACAAATTGTAAAAAAAGTTTTAAAACAAGATTACAGATTGTAAAAAGTTTGAAATAATTTGAATAAATTGTAAAATTGCAAACTTAAGTTTTCAAGTTTGTAAAAAAATTTAGGCAAAATAAACATTATTTATAAGCAAGAATTAACTATAAACTCCAAAAAAACACAAAAAAATATTTTAAAAATTTTAGAAAAATTTTTAAAAATTAAAAAAAATTTTTAATAAAAAAATAATAGAGAGATTGACATTTTTGATTTGTAAAAAAAGAAAAAATAAAATAAAATTGCTACTATTATTTTTGGTTTAAAAATTGATGGGGCGTTTCAGATCCTTCGTTTCAAAAAAAAATAAAAAAAAAACTAGTCAAAAAATAATTTAGAAAAAATAAAAGATTAGTAAAATAAATAAATGATCTGTTTTTGTATTTAAAAACATAAAAATAAATTTTTAAAAATCAAAAAAATTTTTTTAATAAAAAATAGACCATTATTAGAGCCCTAGCTGGAATTATAGCCTAAACTAGCCTAGAATAAGGTCTACCAAAAGAAAATTTTTTTTGATATCATTGAATAGAGGAGAAAATTCTATATAAAATAGAACAAACCAAAAAAATTTTTTATTTCATTTAAAAAAGATTGAGGCCAAAAAACTTGATTTTTAAAGAGAAAACTGCTCGACTTAAGGGTAATTTTCGAGCCACAACTTTTTTGTAAATTTAAATAAAAATTTAATTTTAATATGATTAAAAAGCCAATTTTCTGCTCTACAAAATGACACCAAAACCATCAAAAAAATAACAGAAAAATAAAAGGTTGTGGAGAAAGGCGTGTTGGTGGTCAGTATTTATGAACTCAACGGAAGCCAGAAAATTAATTTAAAAAAATTTAAAAATTTTTTTTTAATTTTTTGAAGCTTTTTGGCAGTAAAATCAATAAAAATAAATAAAAACACAACATTCCTTCATAAAATAAAAATAAAAATGGATTTTTCTTGAAAGGGATGGGGAAGGTTTTCTCTTTCATAGAAAGAGCTTCCTCTTCCCTTTCTGCCAGATGGGCCACTAAAACATGTTTAAAAATTAAAAGAAATTTAAGAAAAAAAATTTTTTAAGGGGAATTAATGAGTAGATTAATTAAATAAAAAGACAGAAAATTATTTAAAAAATTAAAAAAAAATTTGGAGGGAGGAGGAGAAAGGTTGAAAAAGGGAAGAGTGAATGTGGAAGGGAAATAGAAGCCTATAGCGTTAGATAGCTTTTGAAAAATAATTTTTTTAATTTAAAAGAGAATTGGAAAATTAAAAAAATTTATTAAAAAATATGAAAAATAAGTCTTAAAAATTTTAAAAAATTGAAAAAAATTTTTTTAATGAAAAGAAAATTTGTTTTTAATGCCCAGACGGATAGGGAGTTGGAGGAGGGAAAACAAGTTGTCAAACATGTTTTAATAAAAATACAAATTTGTAAACCTAATTTTACAAATTGTAAAAAAAGTTTTAATACACGATTACAAATTGTAAAAAGTTTTTTAGTGACCATACGGATGGGTGGTTGTAGGAAGAATTGAAAATCAACCTCCCCAAACATTTCCCACCAAAAATTAATTTAATAAAATTAAAATTAAAAATGTCCTTTAAAAACAAGTACAAATATTATTAACCAAAAAATGACAGAAAAAAATTATTTAATTATTAAATTAATTAATTTTCAATAAAAATTAATTAAAGAAGCACTAACAAATAAGTATTTTCTCCTCCATTCAATGTTCGCGGGTAATAAAACAAAAATTTTTGTCTTTAGGGAGGGTTTAAAGCGTGTTGCCGTTAATTTCCTTTAAAACAAAAAATATTTAGCTAGTAAAATAATAAATAAATATTTTTTTAATATTAAAGTAAACGCTGCTGCGCGACGCCGCCGTTGAAGAAGAAAAACGCGTAGAGCGCGAAAAGAAAAGAAAACCCCGCGGCATTGCTGGACAAGTTTTTTTTGTTTTTAGCAAAATAAATTTTTCTAATAATCATTTTTACATGTTTATTTGTTTGAAGAAAAAAATTGAGAGGAGGAAAAAATTTTTTGGAAGGGAGAAAAGAAGGGAAGGGCTGTTTATTGGAATTTTGGGTGATAATTGGGGGTGTTTTTGGCAAATAAAAAAATAAAAAATATAAAAATAGAAAATAAAAATAAAAAAATACAAATAATTTAAACAAAAATAATTTTAACAAAAATAAAATAATTAATTTTGAAATTAAAAATATTGCCCGTCTAAATATTTATTAAAGATAATTTACGAGTATGTCTCACCTCCACTTAAATTAATGTTTATGCTAAACTTGCTAAAAACAGAGAAACATGAGAAACATGTCAGAGAAACTAAAACATTGTTTTTAAACAAGTTTATAAATGTTTGTGGAAAAACAAAAGTTTTGTTGTAATGTTGGAAACAAAACAGGAAAACATGGAAATTATAAAATTAAAACAAACAAAACTTGTTTAAAAGATGTTTAGATTAAAGTTGCAAGAAAAATGTTTAAAATAAAAATAAACTTGACAACAAAACAAGTTGGAGAAGAAAACAAGTTTAAACAAGAAACATGTTGGCAAACATGTTGGGAAACAAGTTTAAATAAAACTTGAAAAACAAGTTGGAAAAAAAGAACCAGTTGGAAAGCAAGTTTGAAAACAAGTTTAAAAAAACATGTTGGGAAACAAGTTTTAATAAAACTTGACGAACAAGTTGGAAAAACAAAACAAAATGACAAAATGGTAACAAGTTGAAAATTTTGCATTTGGTCACAACAATTTTAAAAAATTAATAAAAACATTTTAAGAAATGTTTTTATCGATTTTACCCCAAAAAGAGTTTAAAAAGAACACAATATTTTCTTTTTAAAATGTTAAAGCTAAAGCGGCAGAATTAAGAAAAAAGCGCGCATTTAGGGTAAATTAATCATGACATTTTTTCCATTATTTTTTTCTTTCTTATTGTCCACCCAATTTTCTTTTTTTTTTCGTTTGCTTCTCGCGCTTCCCCCTTTTCTTTTTTTTTTTATAATTTTATTTGCAAACAATAAGGAGCGCTCAAGGATTTTTAATAAATTAAAGAGGGGGAATAAATAAAGGATTATTAGCGGGGAAGGGGAGAGGGAGGGGGGGGGGGGAGAGAAGAAAAAAACGAAGTGAAGGATGATTGGGTTTCGACTATGGGGAATTTTATCAAAAATCTTTTTAGGTCTTTTGAATCGAAAATTAAATTTAAAAAAATGTAAAAATTAATAAAAAAAATTTTTTTAAAGCGTAAATTTTAAATAAAAAATTAGGAAAATATGTATATTCAAATTTAGTCACCTCAACGGGAGGAATCGTTTAGTTTTTCGAAGCTCAGGAAGCAGAAAAAAGGGCTGGGTCATCCAAGGCTACCGAAAATGTTTTTACTTATAATTTGTAGAAAATTAAAAAAAAATTTTTTTTGATAATTTTTTGCACCAATATTAATTTGAAAATAAAAAAAATTAAAAATTTTGATTTCTCAAGGTAAGCGACATTTCATCCCAAATTATAATTTTAATTTGTCTTTTAAAAATAAATTTTTTTAAATTTTTTTTTTTGATTTTGTAAACATAAAGGAACAAAAATTAACAATTTGAAGGCCATATTAATTTAAAAACTGAAGAAAAAAAGGCAACATTTTTGCAAAAAATTGGAAAAAAAATATTAGACAAGCAACATTCTTTAAATCATTTTTTTCTTTATAAAAAGACTTGACATGTTGCAAAAAAATTTTTTGGGTATAAAAAGAGGCCAATTAGCCTAATAAATTCATTTTAAATTTTTAAAAAATTTTTCCCGGCAAAATAGACCTAAATTAAAAATTCTGGACATTTCGTCCCACGGGAGAAAATTTGCCATTTCGTCCCACTGAAGAAAATTGGACATTTTGTCACAAAATTTTTTAAAAATTTTTCTATAGCTAAATTTTTATTCTAAAATAAATTTTAAAATTTTATCATCTTTTTAAGGCTTTTTATTAACTAAATAATTAATTTTCAATAAATTATTAAGGAAATAAAATCTAAAAAATGAAGAGTTATTTATGCCTATTTTTAATACTTTTGTTTGTACTGTGCTTTACTGCCTCAATGCAAGTAGCAGCTGACCATTCCGAGTCTAAATTGTAATTTTTATATTTTTTTATAAATCTAGTCAATTCTAAATGTCGAAAAAGCCAGAAAAATTTTTAAAATTCAAAAAAAAAATTAAAAATGTCAAACAGCACAAAAATGGACATTTCGTCACATTGAAGAAATTTGCCATTTCGTCACTAATATTATCACACTAATTAAAATACCTTCATAAACCTTTAAAATCTTTCCAGTCTCCGTTCAAAACGCTACGGTGGCTTTGGTTATTATGGAGGCTTTGGAGGCTGTGATACTTGTGGAGGAGGCTATTTTGGAGGATATGCCCCAAGCAATTTTTATGGTGGATGTGATATGTGTGGAGGGGGTTACCGAAGCTACTATGGATATTTTGGCTGAACATATGTACAAGAATTACTAGAAATATTCCAATAATTATTGTTAAATAATTAATTTTGTTGATAATTTATATTTCGTCATATTGAAGAAAATTGGACATTTTGTCACAAAAATTTTTTAAAAATTTTTCTATAGTGTTAGCGATACTTTTTAGGTTGTAAAATGGTCAGACAATCTCATATAACCTTAAAATTTGTCATGATCATTCCTAAGGGTGTTTACTAGCTCCCTTAAAAATTTGAGAATTTTTGGTCAAGTATAAGGGAAGATATGGTCAAATTGCCTGAGGGCATTTTACCCAAGTTTTTACAAGAAAGGCATTTTTAATTAAAAAATTAAACAAAATTACCAAAAAAATATTTAATTAAAGCCGGATTTTTGCTACATTTATATAAAATTCATTAATCAAAAAATTAGAGCATTCGGCGATTTTTAATGGAAAGGAGAGAAAAAAATGCCGACAGACGCCTTTAATTAATTAATTTAAAAAATCTCCTTTTAATTTTAATTAAAGAAAAGTTTTGGCATTAGCGAAAAACACACAATTTTTTAATAATAAAATTTCTCTCTCTTCAGTTCATATTTTTGTTGCGATAATTTTAAAAAATGTTTTTTATAAATATTTTTATTATTTTTTTAATTAATAAAATTACTGTAAGTTTCCCCTTTAAATTATTTCCCTTTTAAAATTTAATTTAAAAAAGACTGGACAATTTGAGGATGAATATACAATTAATGCTAGGGCTGGAATTGTTGATAAACTTTTTGATGGGGATATAGATCTACGGCCTGAAGAGTATTATCAGCTAAAGAGAAGCAAATTTTTTTCTGATCCGGCTGCTAGAAATAATGGTAAAATATAGGGGTTTAAATGACAAAACGGTAATACACAAAACGTCAATGGTCAAAATGGTAAAAATTCGAAACGCCCAAAATTCAAAATGTCAAAACTCAAAATGTCCAGAACACAAAATGTCAGAAGTCCAAAAATACTAGTTTAAACCAGGACTACCGGATCCGGGTCTGGATTTTCCGGATCCGGTAGTCCGGAATCCGAGTATTTTGATGAAACCCGGATTTTCCGTATTTTGATCCGGAAAATCTGGTCAGGTTTAAAAGAAAAATAAAAATCCGGAAACCGGATCCGGCATTTTGCTAACTTTAGACTCTAAGAAATACGCCCCAAAAATTTTTTTACTACATAAATCTAATTCTTAAATATTCCCCCTTCAGCTCTATTCACCAACTGGGAAACAGATGAAAAGTATCATTGGCCACCCCAACCTTCAACGACGCCAGGCGTTCGTTTTGGCCCTTTAATTAACTACACATTGGATTGGGAAAAAATAGTAGAGCCTCCTTCTTGTTTGTTTTCTTTAGTTTTTTTTGGAAAAAAATCATTTTAAAGTTGTTTGGCTTAAAAATATTTTGGATGCCCACAAAAATATAGAAGAAAATACATGCATTAGATTTGCAAATTCGAGTGAAGGGGATCATATACATTACTATTGGGGGTATGGGTGTCATTCACTTGTGGGGAGGAATGGAGGAAAGCAGTGGTTGTCTCTTGGACCCGGCTGTTGGACGGTGAGTGACATTTGGTCCCATACTTCAAAGGATGACATTTGGTCCCATATTTCGAGGAGTGACATTTGGTCCCATAGTCGGAAAATGACATTTGGTCCCATACCTCTACGGACGACATTTGGTCTCGTATCCGAAAAACGACATTTGGTCCCATAGTTAGGAGATGACATTTGGTCCTCCAAGTTGGATTTTAGCTTGCAATAGCTAAACCCTATTAAAAAAATTAATATTTAAAAGGTAAATGCAGTCCACGAAACACTCCATGCATTAGGGTCTAATCATGAACAAAGCAGACAAGACCGTGACACTTTTATAAAAATTAATGAGGAAAATATGATTGAAGTAAATTAAATTCTTCTGATTTTTTAAAAAATCCCCCATCCACTTTAGAATATTTCTGACGCTTTTGCAGTTATTGCTGGGTCCCCTACTGGTCAGAATTTTAATTTTAAATCTAAAAATTTTCTAAAATTCAAGGCAATCCTTACGATTTTGGTTAGTGTATGCATTATTCTAATGGGGCATTTTCTAAAAACAACAAGTATTTTTTTCAAATTTTAGGTTCTACAATGCATTATAATAATATGGCATTCTCGAAAAATAAAAAGTATATTTTCTTATAGTTCAAAAAATCCATAACGACCAAATTTTCAAAAAATTCAAAACCGCCAAAAATCCTTCAAAACGTCGCAACCCTAAAAATATTTCAAAACGTCGCAACTCCAAAACATTTCAAAACGTCGCAGCCCCCAAAATGTTTCAAAACGTAGCAGCCCCCCAAAATGTTTCAAAACGTCGCAGCCCCCAAAATGTTTCAAAACATCGCAATCCCAAAAATTTTTCAAATCGTCCAAACCCCCAATTATTTCAATTTTAACAGACCCACAATCGAAACACTTGACAAGAACTACCAGCATACTATTGGCTACAGACTTAAACTCTCATTTCTCGATACAAAAGCATTAAATCATCGTTACTGTGATCGTTAGTGAATTAATTTATATTTAAAAAACCCCCAAATTTTAAAGATATTTGTGATGACTTGACTTGGATAACTCCAGACTGCAGAAATAATGGTTACCCTAACCCAAATAAATGTTCAGAATGTTTATGCCCTGAGGCAAATTTAAAAAAATAATATAATTTTTTGATAATTAAAGGGGTATGCTGCTCCTTATTGTGACCATGTAGAAAAGGGCCGGATGGAGGGGGAAGGTATTACTTTTAAAGGATTCTTAGGTCGAATAATAGTTGGAAAATGGATGGGGAGACTCTGAAAATAATTTAGTGCACCCTCGGAAGCACAGACCCCAATTTTGTGACAAAAATAGAAATTTGACATTTCGACATTGACATTTCGACATATGACTTTTAAGTCAAAATTAATGTCATACTTACAATTAGACCCACTAAGACCCCAGAATACCGATTTTCATAATTTTAGGAAAAAGAACAGAAGTTGACCCAAATGAGCCTTTTCCCGAATTAAATTAATTAAAAAATTTTTTCATTCTAGGAAAAAATCCATTATATGCAGAATGCCCAGGAGAACCAAATATTCTATTAACCCCAGACACTCCAGAAATGGAAGAAATTCGCTGGTTCAATGCAAGCAAATTTACTTGTTATTGGAGAATCCAAGCCCCAGCTGACCACTATATTGGGGTTAATTTAACAAAAATGGAAGGGTTCAAGTGTGAACAATCTTGCTATAGTTTTGTAGAGATTAAATATGGAAATATGGCTAATTCGGGTAATTTAAAGAAATTTTCTTAGTTCATAACGTCCAACACACTCAAGTGACCCCAACCCCTTAAAGCATCCCCACCCCTTTCAAAATGACACAAACACCAAAATTCTCAGAATGTCCAGTGTCAAAAATGTCCAGTGTCAACATACCCAATGTACAAAAACCCCAAACATTCAAAAAATCCCTAACAAATAAGTCCCACAACAATCACTTCCTTAAATTAACTCTTAAACCCCCTAAAGAGCCCAAAACGTCCAAACATTACAGAACGTCCAAAATTCAAAACCCCCAATTTCAGGCCCCCGTTTTTGCTGTGATCTACCTACAGAAACATTATATACGGAAGTAGTCGGGCACGAAGTTATAATAATTACACATGGATATAAACCTGGAAATTATTCAGTTAATTTAAGCTATAGTATTACAAAATAGTTAAGGGAGGAGATTTGTAAAATTTTTCTTTGGATAAAATTTTGATTTTTTTGGCATTTAGTTATTTTGAAAAAGAATTTTGAATTAAAAAAAATAAAAAAACTATTTAAAAAATATAAAAGAACACAGCTGATTGTGTTCTTTTAAATCGATTTTCTGAAGGGTTATAGAAGGTGGAGGTAAATGAGCGGACAAAAAACAGCACTAATAGTAGTGTAAGCTAGACTAAATCAATTAAAAAATTAAATTTCCCCTTAATATTCAAAAATATTTTTATTCCCTTAAAATGAGACTTTGGATAGCTTCATTATTTTTTTACATTTATATTTTTATATTTTGTGAATTACTTCGTTTAATAATTAAAAAATTGTTCGAAACTGAAGGGGGTAAGGAGGAAAAACAACAAAATCGTTCCTCACATCAGTTATATGCACTTATAGCCTATGAGGTAGGGTGAAAAAAAAATTTCTTTAATTTTAAAAAATTTTTTATCTGTCATTTTTTTATCAAAAGACTACCTTCCTAGCAAAAATAAAAAAAATTTTCCCCACACCGGGATTCGAACCCACGACCCTATTTTAACTAATCCCAAGTCACTACCAACTTCACCACGAACGATCAGCCGAAAAAAGTTTAATTATTTGCTTAAAATTAAAATGATTAAATCAACCCAGAAAAGGAGATAAACGGAAAAATTAAAAAATTACCCTTAAAATTAAGAAAAAAAAATTTCTAAAAAATTTTTAAAAACTTTTTTAAACAATAATATAATAAATATATATTTTTTAAAATAAAATATATAATAATTAACTATTTTTTGAGGTGTCTAATAAATAATAAATGAGAAAAAAATCACAAGGGTAAAATAAAATATTTTTTAAGAGTACAGTAGAGTCTCAAAATTATTTTTAATTTTCAAGAAAATTGAGCTGGTATAAGTGGGGATAATTCGAAAAAATTTTTTAAGTAGATAATATTTTTATTAAATAGCTGAAATAGGTAAGGAGATTTTTGAGGGATAAGTGGAGAGAGCTCTGAACGATTGGGGAAGGAGGGGAGGCAGTGGATAAGACTCTAATATACTAACAAAAAATTTTTTTGGCCTATAATTTTGGTGTTAGAATAATAAAAAAAAACTTTTTTTTGGTTAATAAAAATATACCTCTATTCCTCTACTAGTAAATAATAATATTCTTTTCTTCTCCTTTATGGCACACAACCAAACTTTTTGATTTTTGTGATTTTTGTCTATCCAGTTTTTTGTTTATTTGTCTCTTCCTTTGGTTGTTTATTTGAACTTGTTTGAGCAGTGGAATTTGGCTTCTAAAATTTTTTTTTAATTTTTTAAAGTAAAAAAAATTTTTTAAGCCCAATATTCGGGTAGAGGAACCTTTCACACTCTAAAATTCACAACTTTTGAATGGGTGAATCTTTAAAGTTGGGGTTGATACCATTCGATAGAGCACAAAATTTACTACTAAAAACACCCAAAAGATAAAATTTTATGTTAAAGGGGAAGAATAGTAAAGGTCAAAAAATCACCTCAAGTATGGCTTCACGGCTAAATTAAGTTTAGATTTTTGCCCATAACTTATTTTTTAATTTAATTTAAAAAATTTTTTGAAAATTCTTTTGTAGTAAATTCAATGCTCTATCCAATAATACCAAAAAATATTTAAAAAAATATTTTTATAAGTGGGTGGGTCAGATGACATTTGATCCCAAACCTTTAGAACGCTTTAAAAAATTAAAAGAAACCTCTTTCTCCATGGATTTTAGTTTCTCTTCAGGAATATATCCCAACCGCATTCTAAATTGTTCGAAGAAGACAAAAAGCTTGAAAAAAATTTTTAATTTTTAAAAGTAAATTTTTAAATAAACCAAAATTGTGTGTGGAGCAAGTCTAACCCACGCGGGGAAGAAGCCTTTAAAGAATCCAAGCGGCCCCAATTTTGCTGTGTACAAAAAGCAATCCAATAAGCCTTTAAATTGGCCAGGTGGTGCATTCATTAAACGCGTTTTTAATACCTGAAAAATAGAATATTTTTATTTTATGAACCTTGGTGCTGAAAAAAATCGTACCTCCTTATAATTAACAAGAAAAGGTTACGAGGTATATCTTGGCCAGACCAAAAAACGGGCAAAAACGGCACAAAATCCTTGCTAGAAAGGGCACATTCTCTATTGAATGAGCCCGGTCTCGATCGTTTTTAAGTCCGACACTTCGCGACCTTTCCTTGCAAGTGTATTTTAAATGAAGGTTAGCTTAACCGTAGTTTAGCCTTCCTACTCTTACATTGGCCTTCCTACACAATGGCTAACCAATTTTTAAAAATGAATTTAAACAAACATCCATAGGCTGGGTAAGAACAGTCGCACCAGAAGCCGCTAGGAAAGAAGAAAACAAATGGGTGTAGATATTGTCCTTTGCCAAATTTGCTTTTATTAGCATCTAAAAATGGAAGAGAAAATGAATTTTTAGATTTAAAAAAACCTGTTTAATTTGATCATAAAAAGACAATTGCCCAATAGTCATTAAAATAGCTCTTCCAGTTGCCATTGTACACCCATTGAATAATTTAGCGACACCTTCTTCCTTGAAAAAATTTATTTAAATTTTGACTAGATAGAGAAAAAACAAAATTAGGACTCATTGTCAAATACTAGATGATCTGTTTGGGTTACCATTAATTCTGAACGAAAGGGAGGCAACATTTGATTAAAGGCTTGTATTTTACCCTAAAGTATATGTTCACTATAACCTTTCAAGAAATTTTTAGGTAAACAAAAAAGGAGATTTCCAAGAGTCTAGAAAATGTCCAGAAAAAGGGTTCAGAAAATTTTTTTCAAAAATTTTATTAAAAAAAACCTTGCTCATTCTAATAATCCCATCAATCGCATTTTTATAATTCCTTCTCTGGTTGGCAGGCAATTTAATATCGTTCTGCATTCTAACGTTAATTAAATCGGCTGGGGAACCGGCAACACCTCCAACAGCTCCTAAAAATAATTTTTTGAAAATTTGCAAAAAATATTTTTCGATGACATTTTGTCCCAAAAATTTTAAAATTCGATAAAAAAACCTGCAACCCCAGCCAAAGCCATTTTCTGAATAAAAGACAAATTTCCTTCAGAATACTGCATTTTAACTGTTTCATAGACTGCAAAACGAGTAGTTGTGTACGTTAATTGACGCAGTAAGGAAGCGGACAAGCCATTGTAGAAGCTGAGAAAATGGGGGAAAATTAGTTTTTGAGGTGGAAAATTTTTGGAAATTTTTTTTAGAAAAATTTAAAAAAATTTTCTGGATGACAATTTGTCCCAAAAAAATTTTTTAAGAAAAATAAAAAATTTTTTAGAAAAATTTCCATACCCTAACAATCCGTCAGATTTGTATATCTTTTTGCACGTCTGTGGAAGTGAAAGTTTTCCTTCTTGTTGTGTTTGCAAGTGTACTTTAAGCAAATCTAAGGGGTGTGTGAAACCTAGAAAAAATAAAAATTTTAAAAATCAGAATGCCAAAAAAAATTATTTCAGAAATTTTTTTCGTTGACATTTTGTCCCAAAATAATTTTTTAAGAAAGAAAATAAATTAAATAAAATACATGCAGCACAGCAACCAGCGAGACCACCAAAGTACCACCTTCCCACTCTTCTGTTATCCGCTGTTAGCATTTTTGGGGAGTTAATTATTTGAGGAATAAGTGAAGAAAAAATAGTTTGAAGCTTATTTGAAGCTTATTTTCTGAATTTTAAAAATTTGAAAAAATTCTAAAAAAAATTTTTTTCAATTTTAAGACTAAAAAAGAAAAATAAACAGAATGCCAAAAAATATTTTTTTTAATGGAAATTTTTTTTTTGAAAAATTTTTAAGAGGAAAAAAGCAAAGAAAATTTTTTTTTAACAAATTTTATGAAAAAATGAGAAGAAAAAATCACCAGATTTATATAAGTATATGCAAATATGCAAAGATAAAATATTTTATTTAATATTTGCACACCCATAATATTTTAAAATAGATAACGTTATAAATGTGTTGTTAAATGTTTTGAGAGGTTAATTAAAAAATTAAACATGTTTTGGAACAAAAATAAAAATCAGAATAAAATTAAAACAAGAATTAAAAATGTTTAGAAAATTAAAATCAGAAAATGTTTGGAACGAAATAAAAGCAAATATAAACAAAACAAGCCAGAAAATGTTCAGAATAAAATCAGAATTAAATCTAAACATTGTTCAGAAAATGTTCAGAAGAAAATAAAATAAAATCAGAATAAGTTCAAAACAAGATTAAAATTAAATCAGAACTTGTTCAAAACATAGTCAGAATTAAATTAAAACTTTGTTCAGAAAAATGTTCAGAATAATTAAAATAAAATCAGAATTAAATTAAAACTTTGTTCAGAAAAATGTTCAGAATAATTAAAATAAAATCAGAATTTATTCAAAACAAAATCAGAATTAAATTAAAACATGGTCTGACAAATAAGCTAAAATTCCAAACTATTTATATAAGGAAGATTTAATAATTAGATAGCATAAAACAAACAAATAATTAACTACATGTGATCTCTAAAATAAAAGTAGTAAAATTGATCGTTAAAAGGGAGACACTTTAATAGATTATTTAAATAAAGGGAATGATTAATGTTTGTGTTTTATTAAACAAACATTTGACGATTTTAGAAGCGCAGACGGGGAGGGGAGATTTTTAGATTAAATAAATTTGTGGACTTTGGACTTTTGACCATTCTATTTATGGGTATGGGAAAGTAATTGTTTGTTGTTTGTAATTTTATATTGTCACGAAGATAAATGATTAATAAAAATCAGTGTTGTTTAAAGTAACGGGGAAAGGGGCTATGGGGAAACCCCTTTATTAGAGAAAAGATCAAAGTCCAAAATCCGAGGAGAATGTGAGGAGGGACTTGTGAAGATGTTCTGGTAGTGTTCTGATTAAATTCTGATTTTATTCTGATTTTATTTTGAGTATATTCTGATTTTTTCTGGCTGTATTCTGGTCTTTTCTGGTTGTATTCTGATCTCATTCTGACTTTATTCTGATTTATTTTCTGGTTATGTTCTGATTTTTCTGAGTTTGTTCTGATTTTTCTGGCCCTGTTCTGACTCTCTAATATCAATAAAACATAAAAATAAACTTCACAAATTTAAAAATTTTTTTAGTTTATCGGAACTCTACAACTATGCGCTCCAATGTTCGACGTAAACTTTGTAATGGATAATTACGGATTGAGCGGTGTATTTTTGGAAATTTGTTTTATAGAATTTGTTAATTCCTTTTTATTGCGAAGAGCACATGCAGATCCCTGCTCTCTAGCAAGTTTTAATTAAATTCTGATTAATGTTCAAATTTTATTCTGATCTTGTTTTTATTTAATTCTGATAATATTCCTATGTTTTTCTGATATTATTCTGGTTTTATTCTGATTTTATTCTGATAATTTTCTAATTTATTCTGGTTTTATTCCGATGTTTTTTCTGATGATATTCTGATATTATTCTGGTTTTATTCTGATTTTACATATTCTGTTTTTAACACTTATCCTATGTTTTAATTAAATTCTGATTTCTTTTCAGTTTTATAGCTACTTAAATGGCCAACATTCCTCCCGTATAGCTTCACTTTTATTGTTAACACAATTTGCTGCGGGTATTTTACAATTGTAATTAATTTTAAAAACAATTAAAAAAAGGCTATTTCTCTTATTTTGTTTCCAAAACATTTTATTCTTTTGGCCTTCATTTTAAACACCTTGAAGCACTTGAAGACAACTGCAGTTCTGATTTGACGGTTTTCTTAAGAGAAAAGTCCCTCAAAAATTTTTTTAAAGGTAGCCATTATTTATGGCTCTGTCGTTGAAGCAATTGGACTGCTAGGGTGTAAAATAGCTGAACATTTTATTGATGAGACTTTAATTGATGAAAAGTATGTTACAATTGTGCTTTCAGCAATTTCTGGTTTAATAACTATTTTGGGTATGTTTTTAGACGGCGAATAAAAATCAGAATATGAACAAAACATATTAAACTTTAAATGAAAAAGATCAGAATATGATTAAAACATGATCAGAATAACATTATAAGATAACAAAAAAATCAGAACATTAACTAAACATGTTAAATAAAAATCAGAACAAGTTTCTAACTGTTCAGAAAAAAATCAGAACACGGTCAAAACATGTCAGATAAAAGATCAGAACAAGTTAAAAATGACCAGAAAAATCATAACATGAGCAAAACATATCAGATAAAAAATCAGAACAAGTTAAAAATGACCAGAAAAATCAGAACATGAGCAAAACATATCAGATAAAAAATCAGAACAAGTTAAAAATGACCAGAAAAATCAGAACATGAGCAAAACATATCAGATAAAAAATCAGAACAAGTTTATAAATGACGAGAAAAAATCAGAACACGATCTAAACATGTCAGAAAACGATTAAAACACATCAGAACAAATTGAGAAACAATCAGAATATACGGTCAGAACATGAACAAAACATAAAAGAAAAAATCAGAACAAAGAGTAAAAACAGAATAAAATCCGAACACGAACAAAACATTTATCAGAACAAAATTCGAACATTATTTTCCAATTTATTTTAAAGGGATTAATTTAACCGGAATGTATGCCAATCCAATAGTAGCCTGGGCACTTACATTTAATTGTGGAGAGGTCTTTAAATTTTATTTAAAAAAATTCAAATCTCTTTAAGGTAACACACCTTGCCCATTTTATCGTTTATTGGCTTGCCCCGTTGTTTGCCTTTTTCCTATCCAAATGGCTTTTGTAGAAGAGCCGCACATATGTCCACTATTTTTGCCTGCGATGCTCTGTTGGGGCGAACGAGGAGAAAAAAATTTTTTTCTATTGATCTTAAAATATACTAGCCTATCTTACCCATAATTTCCGCACAAGTTTCCCCACATTTTCAAACATTTACTATCCACCTAGCAATCTTTTTCTACCCTCATATTAATATGTAGCATTAATGTTTTTAAATAAAAAAATAAATGAGGGGTAAATTTATAAGCTATTTTGCCTTATTCTTTGTTTTTTTTTTAAGTTCGGGGTAATTGTTCATATCGTTAGTTAAGCTTCATGAGAAATGGGCGTTATAATTTTGATATATAAATATAGGAGAAGAAGCAAATTCTAAACATAACAGAATCTTCTAGGTTAAACTAAACGAGGTCTCTGGACCAACGATACTTCTGACGAACTGTATATTGACGAAATGGGTTTTGACCCAAATACCAAAAATAAGCATAAACTCAAATGTCGCCTCGAACATTTGTTTTTGTGTTTGTTCTAATTTAATTCTGATTTGTTTTTAATTGTTTTTATAAATAATTCTGATATTGTTTAATTCTGATTTTTGTTTAAAACAAATTCTGATTTTCTGACAAACATAGTTTTGACTTGTTCAAATTTAATTCTGATTTTTGTTTAAAACAAATTCTGATTTTCTGACAAACATAGTTTTGACTTGTTCAAATTTAATTCTGATTTTTTTTTTAAAACAAATTCTGATTTTCTGACAAACATTATTTTGTCTTGTTCAGATTTAATTCTGATTTTTCTTTTAAAACAAATTCTGATTTTCTGACAAACATTATTTTGTCTTGTTCAAATTTAATTCTGATTTTTTTTAAAAACAAATTTTAAATTTATCTAGTTTCTTCTTGTTCTAATTTAATTCTGATTTTGCCATTATTATTTAATAATGTCTGAAGAATCAATTGTTAGCACAGAAAATGGAGTCGTCGAGGCTGAAGAAAATGTTCAGGAGCCGGGTATTAAATTTAGAAAAAAATATTTTAATTAAATTTTTTAATATTCTAGCTTTGTATAATTATGTTTTGACTGAGGAACAAAAACAACGAAAAATTAAATGCGTCACGTGGGATGATAAAGTTGTTGAGGTTAATTTAAATTTATTTTTTTGTTAAATTAAGGGTTTTTGAATGAAAAATAATTTTTTCAATTTCTCTCTAAAGCCTTTCGCTTTAACTGTTTCCTACGGCTTCCTTTGACGGCTTCCTTCGGTTCGTCTTCTCGGTCCAAGGCGAATGGTATCACTCGGGATGATTGGAAATGCCTGTAAGAAAAAGATACAAACCCTCAAAATTATAAAACCTATAGGGTAACACGGACATTTTTGGGGTCAAAAATTCTGAACAAAATTGTAACCAACTGTATCTTGGCTTGAAAGACTGCGGGTATATAATCTGGGTATTATACTATAACGCGGACTGGGAGAGGGGATTAGAATAAATACCTATTATCGGAACGTAGCGAAAATTTTTGGAAAAGACTGGGAGAGGAACGAGAAAATTTTTTGTTACAAATTTCTAATTAAAAATTAAAACAAAAAATTTCTATCTTTAAATTAAAGGTTGAATGGCATCTGATGATGCAATGTGGAGCTTTTGTCCTGCTTTGGTTTATTTTTAAATTTTTTTTAAAATTCACAAATTTAAATTAAATTTTAGGGAAAGTTTAAATTTGGAAGATTCTGTGAATTCTGACGCTTTGGACTGCTTTCATTTCCCACTCAATGAAATTACCGAAGAGTGCTTTGTTAAAGTTGTTGAATGGCTACGTAATCATCAAGGTTTTTAATTTTTGGAAATAATTAAACTGAACTTATGGGAATTTTGCATAAATCGGCAAACCTGGAGAATAGGTGTTTTTCCGAAAAAAAATTCAAAAATAAACACGCGTCTCGCGGAAACACCGGTCGCTGGGTTTTGCACTAGTAACATAAACATATTCCTTTTTACTGATTTTCCTACCCTACGTCGCATTAAACATTTTTCGAACGGCGCGCCGCAAATTTTCATATTCAAATTTGCGTACCCGAACTTTGCAGCTCGAAATTATTAGGAAAATATATATTCTAAGGAAGGAAAAATAAATGTAAAAAATCCTGGTGCCCCCACTTGCGTATGGGGCCCGAAATGTTTAAACAAATAATTCGGGTTCTGGATTTGGCTTTTCAAAATCTGAACTCATATTCGTACTTAACACATTTTTTACCCTAGAAAAATCCTTTTATTTTTAAACCTGATTGATGGGAAAGAAGGGAAACGTGGAGAGGTAAAAAATGTTGCTTAAGCTAACAAGTTCCGTTAAATTTTTGAAAAATTTTAATTATTAAGATTAATAATTTTCATTATTTTTAGGCCAGGGACCAATTGAAATTAAGTATGACCATATAACTGGCGAGGTAATAAATATTTAAATAATCGTAATAATAAAAAATAATCGTGTCCCCATTTTCCTTTCTATTTTTCACTTTTTATGGTAAACTATTATTCGAATGAGTTTTTTGAAGCTGACAAGGGAACATCGACTTCCTGTAAAAACTTAAAAAACAAACAAGTAAAAGTGTCGTTTGTGCTTCCTCGTTTGTCATATTTTTCCATTTACCTCGATAAAAGAAATAGGCTCTACTCCAGTTTATGCGTCCAATCGACTTTTATGCGTCCAATGAAAGTTTATGCGTCGAATCAAAAGAAAATTGGATTTTTCTTTATATTTTGAAGTTGGGTTGGGTTCTTTAACATTTATTCATGTTCGGGACCTACGCCCACTGGGTCTGGGACCTTTCCTTGCCCTATCCCTTGAAATTTCTGAAAGTTGTAGCCAATTTTTAAAAGTTTCGGAAAAACAATTATAACTTTCCGAAATTTTGGGTGATATGGCAAGGAACGGTCCCAGACCCAGTGGACGTAGGTCCTGAACATGAAGAAATGTTTTGAAACCATACCCTAACTGTGCAATACCAAGAAAAATCCAATTTTCTTTTGATTGGACGCATAAACTGGAGTAGAGCCAAGAAATAACTTTTAAGCAATCGAGTAAGCTGACTCTAAAAAAAATAAAATCTTACCTCATATTCGAACTCAGCTCACTTAATTACCTATGTTAAACTTCAAAAATATCTAAAATAGATCGGAGATGGAAAAACGAGAAAAAAGGAGAAACACAAACGGCACTTTTATCAAGAAAAAAATTATTTAAATAAAATTAATAAAATTTAATTAGATTTTTCAGCGCAAATGGTTCCATTTGACTGATTGGGAGAAAAATTTTTTTGAAATTGATGATTTCGAGTTTTTGAAGGAAATTTATTTGGCCTCCAATTTCTTGGATGTCAAATCTTTATATTATTATTGTGAGTTTTTTTTTGAAAATTAAAAAATTTATTTCGTTAAAGGTGCACAGGAGGCTGCAAGGGTTATTATGGATAAGTCAGCAAGTGAGATTCGAGAGCTTTTGTGCCTTCCTGATGTGAGAAAAATTTTTTTAATTTTTTTTTGTTCAAATTTTGGAATTTGAAATAAAAATTGAAATTAGAATTAAAATTAATTTTTCGATACCAGGACCCTTTCCGGCAAAATTTCAAAACTCAAATAAACGTCCAACTGAGTCTAGAGTTTATACTTGAAGTCAGTATGTGGCAATAAATTTTTTTAAGGGATAACGGAATAGTTAGGGTTAACGGAAAATGTGTCCTTTTTCTTTAACTTTATTTTTTAACTAAAAAATTATTTTTTAGGATTTAACTGATGACGAAAAGAGGGAGATAGCAAGGCAGTATGAGTACCGCGAGAGTCCGCCACCTGCCCCGGTGGTGGACTCTCGCGGTATGGAGATGGACGAGCACGATTTGGTTGGGACCTCGTCTTCTTTTATTCCGCAAAGCTCATCAACCTCAAATGTTGTTTATGCTGATGTGTCTGCTGATAAGAAAGAGGTGAATATTAATTTGGATGGACCCGGAAGTAGTGGGTCTTCTTAAATTGATTTAATTGTTAATTTATTTTTGGGGACTTTTATTTATTTTTATGCCACACCCCTTTGGATTAGGAAAATTCTGAGAAAGTTTTGTTGGAAAAATAGGGAAATTTGATTTTAAGAAGTTCTGTCCCCTTTTTTGAGTCTTTTAGGGAAAGGGGAAAGTTTGCCATTCGATATAAGACCTCATACATTGCTGTTGGAAAGTGATATCCGTTTTGTTGCAAAATGACATTAGGACAAGTTTTGGAAGGTTAAGTGTTGTTGTCCTTCCCGAAATCGAAGAGAAAGTAGAGGGGTGTGGTATAAAGGCAAATAAAAGTACCAGAGACCGGATTGGGAGGGTCGTACGAAAATCGAGATCGATATCTTTTTAAAAAATCTCAACTTAATAACCTGGATTTTTGTTCGATATCTCGTCTCGGTTCGATCTCTAATATAAATATTTGTAGCTTATTTTTAAAAAATCTCTTGTTTTTCATATTTAAAGTTGTTTTCTAATTGATGATTTTTCGAAATAAAATTTAAGTTATTTTTTGATGTTATAAATTAACAAGGAAAATATGTTTAAATGTAAAAAAATTGAAAAAAAATTTTTTTTAATAAAATATTTAACAAATGCACAAAACAAAAATTATAATTAATGTAAAAAAAATGATATAGACGTCAAAAATGTATGTAGTACATATGGGGCACGCTCAAGTAGACGCGCGGCCATAACGGCGCAAAAGATAACTTACTGGATAATTTCTGACTCATCAATTTTGGTACCAATCTCTTTAGCTCGATAAGAGGAATCGTTTAATACTAAAGTTGGTAAGATTCGGAAATCATGAAGCAAGTTATGACTTTGCGCCTATATGACCGCGCGCTTACTTGGGCTGTTCCCGTAATAGAACAAATGTATTAGCTTATGTGTTTTCCGGAAAGTTCCTCCCTTTAATTATTTTCCGGTATGTGTATTTTTTTGTATTTTCGTTAAAAACACATCCATTTTTCGACCACTACATTTAAGACGAATTTCGTTGTAAAATTAAATGAAAAATACAAATTAAGGTGCAAAAATATTTTTGTTGTATGTTGGGGAGGGGAATTTTTGCAGTGAGACCATTATGTATATTATTTTAAATATATTTTAATTATTGCCGAAAATTTCTTTAGGAGGAAATTGTAGAAGAGTACAGAAATCTTGGCTTTTGAATGTTTTTCCGGAAATGTTTTCCGAATTCGTATTTTTCTATTATACTCAGCACTCTTCCTTTTACAAAAATACAATGACTTCACTATAATATACCCACATTCGCCTGGAGCTTAAAGAATGAAGGGTACCTTATAATAAGGTGTATATTAGTGATGGTCGGGAGTTAAAAAAAGCCGAGAGTCGGGAGTCGAGACTGAGACCGGGAATCGACCCCGAGACCGAGTCCCGGGTCGAGACCGAGAGTCGAGACCAAGAGATTAGGAGGGATATCACTTGATATCGTGTCACGACACTTGCAGATATGACATTTGCAGACCCGACACTTGCAGACCCGACCTTTGCAGACCCGACATTTGCAGATGCCGACACTTGCAGATATGACACTTGCAGATCAGACATTTGCAGATCCGCTTTTGCAGATTATACCCATTTCGCTCTCTTCTTTACCTTACCTATACACCGTGGAGTGTTAGCTGCTGTGGAGGAATCCTGGGATGCCCATCTCATTGATGATAGGAATAGGATCATGTTACGAGCCCAGAGCCCAGCGACCGTTGACTACCCGCGAGGCGCGTGCCGCAAAACCTCACGCGAAGCGCGGGGTTTTGCACAAGCGCCTCGCCGACGCTGCATAAGTTTACGTTGAACATTTTTAACCTCCGGAAAAAAAGAATCTCCGAAAAAAAGGGTTTTTAAGATTTTAAGCCATAAATCCTCCAATTTCATTCATTTTCTGCGCCGCAGGCGAAACTTTTGAGAATTTTGGAGCTCAAGAAGCCAGATTTCTCCCATTTTCTGCGCCGCATGTGAAGATTTAGTCGCCTCATGCGAAAATTTTGGAAAATTCATGATTAAATTAAAATTTTTAATGTCTTTTCAAGTTTAAAATATTAAAAAAAAATTTTTTTTAATCAAAAACAAAGTTAAAAGACATTTATTTTTGAAAAGAAAAATTTTTTCAGCCTCAATTCTGCCCCTGGATTCGAACCCAGACTTAACAAAATATCTAAATGATTGAAGTAAGTCACACTAACCACTCAACCATAGAACAACAAAAGAAAAATGGAGAAAATATAAATATTTCTTTCACTTTTCCTTAAAAAATTAAATGTCAAAGTATGCGAGGTACGAGTAAAATTCAAAAAAGTCCGTCATTAGGGGTGTAAATTTAGTCTCGTTTTCCGAGACTAAAACACCGAGAGCGAGACCGAGACCGAGAGCTCAAAAAACCCGGGAAATTTCCCGACTCGGGAACCGAGACCGGGAATCCCGACCATCACTAGTGTATATTATAGGTATCACTTAGGTAGCTTTCCTCCCACACAGAGGTAGGTCGGAACAGTCAGAGGTGTCGGAAATCGGAAGAGCCGGAAATCGGAACTGGCTCAAAAGTCGGAAATCGAAGGAAAAAGTCGGAAATCGGAATTCCGACCCACTTCTCATCCCCCACCCAGTAGCCTTAAATAAGAGGGATGTCTAATATTGGGTGTATATTACGTGAATGTCTTTAACTAAATTTTAACAAATAAATCCATGATATAAACAAAAATGAGGCAAAGGCACCAAAAATATTATAAAAAATTTATTTTTAAAGGAGTGGATTGGTGATGGCACTTTGATGAAATTCTCTTCGATTTGAAGAGAAGAAAAAAATAACAAAAATAAATTTCGAATGAAGGCAAAATATAAATAAATATTTAAAAAAAATAAAATTCAAAAATGTAAGTGCTGTAAAAATATAAAGGCTTAAATTGAGTAGTTAAAAATATATAAGAGAATATTTAGAGGGAATGTGAGGAATTAAAAAAATTTTTTTTAGTTTGAAAATTAACTATTTAAATACTAAAAATATAGGAAAAATAATTAATTGACGAAATGGTTGTAGTTGACTTTTCTGGAAAGAAATAGCACATGAAAATATATTCTATTGGTTTGTCTACTTTCCGGAAAAATACGAAAAACACATAATTCCTTTGCACACATCTTTTCCAGAAAGAAATACAAATTTTCAGAATTAATTTAGTAACCTATGTATTTTCCGGAAAATACATTATATTCTGATTAATTTGTTTCCGGAAAGAACTATATTCTTTAGTTTGTCCACGTGTGTTTTCCGGAAACATGTGTTTTTCCACTTGTGTTTTTCTGATTATATCTTGTTTCTCTGCCTTTAAGTATTTTCCGGAAAAACACATAAACCCTTCCATTTCGTCATTACAATAGTAAGTGTGTAATATAAAAATAAATATAAAAAATAGAAAGAAATATAAATTAGAGTTCTTAATATGTTTAGTAGATAAAATTAATTATTTAAATAATTGCCTCAGGCGTTAAATAAAATTAGCTTATCTTTCTTTTTTTTGGTTTAAGCAAGTTGTTAGACTTTCAGAAAATGCTGATTAGAGACATAGGCAGACAAAGTTGTGTTTTCCGGAAAAAAACATTTTTACATAACCAAACAACCAAACCGCCTATTTTCTCTCCTCTCCCCATTATTATTTTCTTCCTGTTGTTCCAATTCTTTTTGTTGTTCTTTTCGCCGCTTTTCCTTTTCCTTAGCTTCTTTTTCCAACCTCCTCCTTTCTTTTGAGCTGATTAGAGGGATTTTTCCTTTGCCTCCACTTCCTCCAGGTTTTAATGGTTCCCTGTTGAAATTAAAATATAAGTATGTTACTGTAATCTCTCTAATAGAAAGACCCTCTCTAATAAAGGGAAGGGTCCTATAGGCTAGAAGTAGTCAAGTTTCTAGTCCGAAGGGAACATTCATAGGCTGGAGGGAACATTCATGGTCTGAAGGGAACTTCCATAGTCCGAAAGGAACATTCATAGTTTTTGTCCGAAGGGAACATTCAGGGTCTGAAGGAAGAATGTAAGGTCGGGAACCAGGACCGATTTGCTTAGTAGCCTTTTTATTAGAGAGAGAATTCAATATATTCAACAAGACAACCTTGAGGCCTCCCGTAAGTTTTTTGAATAATGACCTCCTCTCCTTGGAAATTGGGGCCGGCCAGTGCCAATTCCTCGCGGGGTTTCTCCCGGCGCAAAAGGGGTGGAAGTTGCGAATTTGCTGCCTTTTTCTTAAAAATTTAATTATGTAAGTTTGTTAGAATGTTAAAAAGTGTTAATAAATTTTTTGAATTTTTTTCAATTTTTTTGAAGAGAAGCAACCGGCAGACCCCAATAGAACCGATAATGAATAATCCTTCTGATTTATAGTCCCAGATATCTCTATGCCACCGTTGTAGTAAGGCGTCGTTCCTAGTCCGAAGGGAACCTTCATAGGCTGGAGGGAACATTCCCAGTCCGAAGGGAACATTCATGGTCCGAAGAGAATGGAGGGATAGGGAGAGAATGGTAAGTTGAAGCCCTCGGTCCTAGGATTTCTCTCAAATTACAAGTCTAGTATACCCCCTTAACAACCCTCCCAAAAATTTAATTTCCTAAATTTTAAATAATTTAAAATTTACCAGGAGGCTTAGAATTAGTAGAACTATCAGAAGAGTCGGTATATCTGTGTTGGGGAGAAATAAAAGGCATTGTACTTTCTGGCGATTCTCCGGTCTCCAATGGTGAGTAATACTCGGAAGGACTTGGAGCCAATCCATCACCTTCTTCTGGATCGAGTTTCCATCCAATTTGTTCTTTTGGCTGTAAATTTAAATTTGATTTTAAATAAAAATTTTTTTAGGGGTTAGAAATTTTTAAAAAAATTTCGTAGGGGTTAGAAGTTTTTTTTGAAAATTTTTCTAAAATTTTCTTGAAAATTTTTCTTGCCTTCTGTCCATTAAAATCACCATCTCCTACACTGTCACCTCTAGGATGCGGATTATTAGAATAATGTGCTGCCCTTCTATCTAACCAACGTCTGAACAAGGCGATACAAAAGGCTGAAAAATTATAAAAAATTTTTTTGAAAATTTCTTTAAAAAATTTTTTCCCTTCAAACTAAGAAAGTTCCTTTCAGAACTATGAGAACTGGGAGTGATCACTCAAACTAATAATGTCTCCTCTCGAAACTAGAGATGTTCCCTTTAAACTTGGTGTTGTTCCCTCCAAGCTATGTAAGTTCCATACGGATCAGGGATGTCCCTTTCGAACCTGGGATGTGTTCCCTTCACACTATATATTGTCCATTTTGATAAATTTTAAGCCCCAAAATTTTTTCTTAAAATTCCTCACCACTAGCAACTACTCTACTGCTATGTGCTTCAATATAATAAAATAACAACAAATTCCCAGTTCGAAAGGTACTAGCAAATTTTCTCATTAACACCAATTCGTTGTCCGTCAAAAATTCGTCAGTATTTAACCATTTACGTAAAACCCATCTTCTTCTAGGCTTCTAAAAATTAAAATTTAAAGGGCGATTTTTAATTCAAACCACCTTAAATTTCATTCGAACAGCCCATTCTATCCAAAAAAAGAGATTGAGAAGATTAACTATTGTAAGAAACACAAGCATTATCCTGAAAAAGTTATAAATTAAAAGAGGGGGATGTTCCCGTTGAATTAGGGATGTTTCATTCGAACTAGTAATGTACCCCTCGGACTGGAAATGTTTTTTCGGACTATATCCTTTCAGATATGAATATCCCTTCGTATGGACGTTCCCTTCAGATAATGAATGCTCAATTCAGATCATACAACCATTCGGACTATGAATGTTCCTTTCGGAATAGGAAGGTTCCCTTCCGACTAGGAGAGTTCCTTTCGGACTATGAATGTCACTTACGCACTACACTACAATACCGAATAATGACTGTTCTCTCTTGATAACTGTTCCCTTTAGAAACAAAAGACCTCAATCACAACTGAAGACTATCTAAAGCTCCTAGCTACATACCAAATAAACAGAGCAGTCCTTTCATGCCAATTTGCATCCAAATAACAACGATAAGTAAGAGTATGAGAATTGCCAATAGAAACAAATTGATAGTCACAATAGGTAATTCTGGGAATTAGGGGGACAGCAGGACGACCGCCAAGTTCAGGCGACTGGAAGCCAAAAACTGGGGGTAATGAAACTCCTTGCCAGTCTTTACGTTCCCACCAAGCTTTGATCACATCCAACCCCCAACTTCGATAATTAGGTCCAATCATAATAGGCAAAACAAACAGTAGAAGACATACGGGAGCCAAAACCAACGTGAATTCAAAGGCAATAAATGCTGAAAAGAGGGGGGGGGGATTTTATAAAAATTTAGAAAATTCGGCACCCGAAAAAGCTCGTGAGGATGTTGAACAACGAAAATTTTCTGCAATAACATTTAGCCTGTCATTCAATTTTTCTTCATCAATTTCAATAATTCCGTCATTTTCTACCGTTACACTCTCAGCGGCGTTTACAACGTTGGGAAAGTTTATGCCTTAAATTAGGAAAAATAATAATAATAAATATTTGTTATACCTTGATTGTCCAATAAAAGTGACCAGACAAACCGAGTAATTACATACATAACAAAGACGATGGGAGCCCAGAACCACAAAATCCACTTAATATGAATTATTAGAATAAATAATGCTAGCTGTAATTTTTCCGGAACATCCCAGAAAGTATATTTTTCCGGAAAATCTTGTATTATCTGATATTTATTTACTTCCGGAAAAAGTAATAAAACATTTTATTGTATTACTATATTATTTATTCCGGAATTTTCCGGAAAATCTTGTATTATGTTATCTACTTCCAGAAAAATATTTCCGGAAATTTTATAGTTATTATATGTAGTGTTATGTGTTTCTAAAACTTTTCCGGAAAAACACATATAACAATACGATGTATTTTTTTCATACTATTACATTCCGGAAAAATATATTATTCCGGAAAAAACGTGTAATAAAACACATATTTAATATTCTGGTATTTTCCGGAAAATACATAAAAATATACTCACTTCCGGATTTTTCACTTGTCTGTCCAATTTCCATTTATAATCATACAAAAGAGGTTCTTCTGGTGCAACATAATACCTCCTCGCAGTCTGACAATGCCTCTGCGCATCTTGATCTAGTTGTGTTCCTGTGAAGTCATAAATTGAGGCTCCCTAGTGGAAATAATTTTTTCTAAAAATATATTTAAAACATACTCTACATGTTGATTCTTCTAATGCAACTTTTGATCTAGAATTAAAATTTTTTAGTGAAATATAACCTATTGTTTGAATAATTGAGGTTGGTAATAGTTACTTTACAGATAAGTAAAATTCTCCCCCTCCTACAATGGAGTGAATGTTCCTTTCGGACAAGGGGATGTTCTTCCACAATAAGGATGGTACCTAAGAACTACTCCCTTCGGATTATAAATGTTCCTTTCGCACTATAGATGTTCCCTACGAACTACTAATGTTTGTTTTAGAGAATGTCTCTCCCACAAAATTTTTTTAAATGTTTAAAATTAGACTTACAATTTAGTAGTCCATAAACAAGCAAAAATTAGAATAGTAAAACCAGGCACAATCCACAAATTCCCTTTATCCATCTTGTCGCCAATTCCACCACTAATTAAAGGTCTTGAAAGTCTCTTCAACTTTCCACCTATATTTTTGGACAATTTCCTGAGGTATGAGGACCCAAGAATGGGCGGGACAGCCATTCTTTTTTCCTGTCCCCAGTTAACTGAAAAAATAAAAAAAATTAGGGTAAAACACGGATTTTGGAAATTAAAAAAAAATTTTTTTTTGGGAAAATAGGTTTTTGAATGAACTAAAAAATGAGAAAAAATGTTGGGTTACAAATAAGAAAAAGTAATTATATAATTGAATAATATGAGGGCGATTGACTTAAAAATTGTAAATTTAATAAAGGAAAGCAACAATAGAAAGGTTCAAGTCATTATTACTTTACAAATTTGGGGGAAAATAATTTTTTAAAAAAGGTGCTTATTATAAGGAATAGGGCAAGTTGAAGGAGGATATGCGTGTAGTAATTAAATAAAAAATAAAATGACCTATCCTCAATGAGGGGCTCTGTGGCATTTTAAAAAGCGGAGGGTGGAAGGAGGAAGTGAGAGTGAGAGAGTGTCAGAGTGAGAGAGAGAGAGTTAAGCCTGGATATCCCTCAATTTTAAAATAACCGGAACTAACCCCCGTAGATGTTCGGACAGGAAGTTGGACAGGAAGATATCTTGGACCAGAGGAAATAGACTTGGAGGAGTTAGAAGGAGGGGTTGGATAATTAATGTAAATCAGCTAATACAAGCACATATACTAATAGAACTCTACGGGAGAATCGAAAAATAAGGAAAGGCTGAAGGGTTAAAAAATAGAATCAAAATTCTTTCAAAAAGATTTGCGATAACAAATCCTAAACCTAGTTGACCTTCACTTGTGTAATTATCAAAAATATCATGAAATTCATTTGTTTATGTAAACATATTAAAGGAAATTCATATGTAAACATTATTGAAGAAAAATGGGGAATCAAGTTGAAAATCCAAGTGATCCGTTGAATAAACAAACAACATTCTCTTCAATAATTCATCACCCCCCTCTCTCAATCAAAATTATTATTAGAGACCGGCAAAATCGCACTTCCGGGATCCCGAGTCGGGATTTTTTTTCTTAACCGATGCCGGGACGGGATCCCGAGGGAGTAATCCCGAAAAAATCCCGAATTTCAAAAATCCCGAAAATAATTATCCGGGATCCCGGCCGGGATTCGGGATTTTTTTTCAAAATAAAAGATTTCAACATTTTATGAATTTAGTGCATAAAATACTGCAATTTATATGTAAATAAAATTAAATTTGTAAAAATATCAATAATTTTTCATAATTGGATTGTCCTCCTCCTTTAATTCCCTCTATAATGGATTTAGAGGGATATCGGTGGATTAATCACTAGGTCCCTTGATAAAATCACACTATGTATTAATATTCCTTCCTTCACTTTACTCCAATAATAACTCAAAACGCGAAAATTTTTAAAATTTTGGATGATCCTTAAGCCAAAAATCTTCCTTCCTTGCGCCGCAGGCGAAAATTTTGAGAATTTTGGAGTTCCTTAAGCCAGATTTCTTCCTTTTTCAGCGCCGCAGGCGAAAATTTTGAGAATTTTTAGAGGACAAGAAGCCAGATTTCTTCTTTTTTCAGCGCCGCAGGCGAAAATTTTGAAAATTATAAAAATCCCGGAAATTATAAAAAAATTTCCGGGATCCCGAGTCGGGATTTTATTTTTTAACCGATGCCGGGACGGGATCCCGAGGGAGTAATCCCGAAAAAATCCCGGATCCCGAATGATCCCGAAAATCAAAAAAATCCGGGATTTCGGGATCGGGATCCCGGAAAATCCCGTCGGGATCCCGTCCCGCGCCGGTCTCTAATTATTATTATTATTAAAATATCAAGAACGCCCGTAAATACCTTTCCAAAATAAGAATGCCAAAACTCCACTCAATCAAATAATTAATTATAATTTAATATTTATTCCCAGTCAATTGCAACAGAAAAATAAGGGGGGGGGGGAAGGGAGAATCAATCAGAAGAAGAAAATTATTGAAGAAAATTTATTGAAGAAAAATGGGGAAGGAAGAATAAAAGTGCCTTGCCGTCCCTGTATGTGTGGGGGGGGGGGGGAAGAAATTGCTTATATTTCCCCCTTAAAAAGTTGGGGGTTTTAATCAATTCCCCTCATCATTTACCCTTATCAATCAAGGCACTTTTTATGTGAAAGTAAATGTTTTTACAAGAAAAATAGACTAAAAAATAAAAAAAAATGAAGAAAAGATTAAATTTTATTAATTTTCTCAGATTATTTTGTGAATATTTTTGTTGGAAAATTTTTTTAAAATTTATTTAAAAAAAGGAGGAATTAGGAAAGGTTACTTGACGGTCAGAGAAAGTGCGGAAGAAACGGCACTGTAATATGAAGATATTAGATAGGCTTGAAGTTCGATAATAAGTCATCTTAAGGATTGAATTGAGCCGAGGTATTAAAGAGAAATTTGTCTTTTTTGGTACTTTTCCATTATGCCAAACTCTCCTATGGATTTTGACCATTTCGAGCCCTATATCTCAGTCCACAGTCGGAAAGTTTAAAGATTGTTTTTATGATAGTTACTAGACACAAAAAACTAGGAGAAAATTGGATCATAAAAATAAAAATAGCCCAAATCCAGCATTTAAAGCCCCCAAAAAAGGCTGTAAAACAAATTAGGGGGAAAATTAATAATAAAAAATAATTTTTTTTAAATTATGGTTAAAAGCGCGAACATAAAAAAACACGCGGTAATTCGCGACAGGCAAAAATACTACTAAAAATAAATGCCCTTCAATGTTGGGAAGGAATAGTTTGAAGGCGGTGAAGACTGAAAAATACTGACAAAATCATCATCTCATCATCATCGGTCATCCCTTAAATGCCAAAAATGAGCAAGGGAAGGAGGAGGAAAAAAAGTTTGATTGGCGTGCACCGATCGTTTAATATTACCCACAACAAAATAAAGTTTATTGACCAATATTATACTAAAGTTTGATAAAATAATTTTTCTCAGAATAAGAGGATTTAAAAAAGGTCTGTCTGACCTATAAGAAGGATTAAATAATTTATGAAGAAATGAAACACATTTAAATTCTGATAAAAAACACAATTTAATTCTGATTTTTCCGGAAGAAAATGGTAAATAAATATTTGTGTTTTTCCGGAAATTTCAGAATTATATGCATGTATTTTCTCTCCGGAAAATATTAAGGGTAAATAATAATTCTGATTTTTCCGGAAAAAGGAATTAGATATTGTTGATTTATAAAGAAAACACATTCCGGAAAACTAATCAGAATTTAAATTCTGGTCGTTTCCAGAAAGAAAAATACATTTAATTAAATATTAATAATTCTGGTTTAAAAATGAAATTAAATCAAATAATTAATAGGATTAATTAATAATAATTTTTTACAAACTCAATTTCTGATAAGAATAATTAAGAATTAAATAAATTAGGCAAAAAAAGATATAATAATAATTTCTTAATTATATTTGTGTTTTAATATTTCTTTTCCGGAAGATGCAGAATTATTAATATTTAAGGAAAACACTTCCAGAATATGTATTTTCTTTCCGGAAAGTTTCCGGATTAAATTTAAATTTTTCCGGAAAATATTTTTTGTATTTTGTATTTTTTTAATTCCGGAAATTCTTAAAAAATCTGTTCTTTCCGGAAATTTATTTCAGAATCAGAATTATTCCTGTATTTTCTTTTCAGAAAATTCAAATTGTCGATTCTTTCCGGAAGGTTTGTTTTTATTCAATAAAATAAACTGAAACAATTTAGTTACCGTATATCCTGTAATAACTACCCTGGGTAATTATTGTTTCGACCTTCCGCTGGAGGGGGTAAATAATAGAGGTGGGGTAATTATTTGAGGGAGGGTAATTATTATTTCGACCTCTACATATTTTATCCTATCATAGACAGAAACTGGCATATACGATATGATACCGAATGCGGAAGTAAATGTTAACGTTTTTTAGAACTGATTCTATATTCCTTTAATATATTCCTATATAATGTCCCCCAAAGTGGTACCATAGCACCAATGCTTCCGACTTAGGATATATAAGGACACTGATTTCTTACATAAATATATATAATATACCCTAAAATGGTAGCACAACAACGATACTTCTGGCTCGGGATAAAATAAAGACACATAGTCTATCGGAAACTATTTCTCGGGATGTAAATATGTAAAAATATATATCAGAGGCTTTGGAAATAAAAAAGGATTAAGGTTTATATCTTTTGGCCGTTTTTTAATCATTTTGGGGGGAGAAAAGGAAGGGAGGAGAAGGTAAGGCATGCATTGTGGAAAAATTTCTGCCAAACATGTACAGGCATGGTGGGAGATAATGTGATAGTACCTTTTTTAATAAATATTTTCAAATTAGTGAGGAAAAATAGGGGGTAATTATTTGAGGCAGGGTAATTATTGTTTCAACATCTCGCTAGAGGGAGTAACTAATAGAGGTGGGGTAATTATTTGAGGGAGGGCAATTAATACAGGTTATACGGTATAATGAGAGTGGTTTAAACACATTAAAAAAGGTCGCGCACATTCTAAATGGCCAATAAAAATGTTTGAGAAAGTGAGGTAATGGGAAAAGTCATCAAAACATTAAAAAACCCCCAAAAATATTTCAAAAGAATTTTTAAATGTGTTTTTTGGTAAATTGAGAAGAAAAAAATGAGAAGAATTAATTTTTGGAAAGAAAGGGGTGATTAATAGAGACAAAATTAAGTATTAACTGATAAGGGAGGAGAGAGAGAAAATTGATGGGCTTTTGCTTTAGATGGTTACTCTCATTTAAGAAGCCCTTAATTTAAGGAAAGAAATTAAAAAGCAGAATTATCAGATTTTTTTTCTTTCCGGAAAACTAAAATACATACATAATTAATTTTTTGATTCCGGAAAAATAAATTTCAAACAGAAGTTTAATGTATTTTTCCTTTCGGAAAATCAGAATTATTAATTGTGTATTTTCTTTCCGGAAACCTAAATTCTGGTAAATATTTAATTCTTCCGAAAAATAATTAATAGACACCAGAATTAATTAAATGTATTTTCTTTCCGGAAAAATCAGAATTTTTTAATTAAATGTATTTTCATTCCGGAAGAAATCAGAATTTTTTAATTAAATGTATTTTCTTTCCGGAAAAATCAAAACTTTTTAATTAAATGTATTTTCCTTCCGGAAAAATCAGAATTTTTTAATTAAATGTATTTTCCTTCCGGAAAAATCAGAATTTTTTAATTAAATGTATTTTCCTTCCGGAAAAATCAGAATTAATGTTCCCTTCAAACTAGAAATGTTCCCTTTGGACTATAAATGTTAATATTTAATACCTCGAATAATTTCAATAATTATTTAATTAAATTCTAAAAAAATAAAAAGAGGGGTTAAAGCGCTTCAAAATTCTTCTAATTAATTAAAATACAAAAAGATTTTTTTCGAATACATATGATCCAGAGTTTAATTTTTCTTCCTTTTCCCTTCCATCTCCACATGTCCTTCCACCCCAAGGAAAAAAACGCTTCTATTCGATCACCGGCAGTCGACGACAATGTCCTTGTCTTCATTGGATGGCTGACCAATGCTATTTTTTAGCTTCTTGTGTTTAATTTATTCCTTTTTTCATAAACCATCCTTTACCTATGGCCAAACTAACTAGACCTAAAAAATTTTTTTCTCTCCAATTGATCCTTTCCCACAGTTTTTCTCAACTGTCACACATTTAGCGC